TCTCAACTTCTTATACGCAAAGTATGCAGCACCAATCAAGAAACAAAACAAAAATTCGCCTCCAAACACTCCAATCAACATGTATTGCCAGCCGTCACGGACAATCTTTGGAGTACATGAAAAGGAAAGTGGCGAAATGACAGCACCTTCTTCCTTAATATTCCATGACAAGAAGATATGTTCATAATTTTGTTCGTGTTCGTATTGTGAACTTGGATACAATTCAACCTTAAACGCACGAACAATACCATGGTTGGGTCTCATTTGTTTGTAACCGAGAGGTGTCTCAAGATTGGAAGCACTATACAAATGAACATATCCCGACAATTCAGGTTCTTCATAGAATGGTGCACCATCTTTCTTGGTTCGAACAATGGAACCGACAGCAATGGTGTCATTGTAGCCATAAAAATTGGCACTCACAGTGAGGGCTTCAGAATTTGAAATTTGCACATCGTCAATGTTGACGAGAGAGAATTGTTCAGCATTGGCTTTTGAGGTTGGGAATGGTTGATACTCGTCCATGTTGACCGAATAAATAAAGCCATTCTTGTCAGTTTCTCCTTCTTCGGAAAAGATGGTAGTACCCACGAGAACCAAATATTGGTCATTGCTTCCTGATAATACCATGTCATTGATGCGCCAAACTTTCATCTTGTTATTCGAGAAGAGGTCAATGGTTCGCTCTGTACTTGTGAAAAGTTGAGCAATTTTAACAACCTTGAGGTTATCTAGGGAGGATGCATCAAGAGTCATGAGAACGTTCACAAACTTGACACTCTCTTGTGAAGGGAATTGAATATTTGTGTTGTGACCAAGGTTGTGGAAATTTTCAAAAGAGCTTTGTTGTTCTCTAAATAAGGTAAAGTAGACATGAATTTGTTGTCTTGAAGCACTGTAGAGGAATTTGACGTTATTGGCATAGATGGTTCCACCGATTCCTTCACCAACAATTGAAGGAACCAATAAAAGGCTCGAGGTCACTGCAAACGATTCATGGAATGGAGTCAATCTCAAAATACGAATAGCATTAGCATCAGATTTGTGCAATACCAATAACTCGTTTTGATTTGAAACTGGGTTCATAATGTCGAGCATGAGAATGGGTTTGTAGAAGATATCGGAAGTGACTGCATTGGCAGAAGCAAAAGTTTCAAAACCGATCGAGTTACCAGATTTGCTTGAATAGACTGGATCCTTGGCAAAATTGTTAATCAAAATTGGGAAATTAGTAGCAGCATCTGGTGTATCGGGTTGCAGAGCATAATTAGTCACGTCCGTAATGTATAAATATGGTACTGCTTTGGAGCCGAGCTCAGTATTTTGATCACCATATTGTCTACCAGCAATAATACTCCAAAGGAAATGTTGTCTCTTGGAATTTTGATTCACGACAGTATTTGGAAGCATAATTACTCGATCACAGTATGGAATGCCAGCCTTGGTGACATTGATATTGCAGTCCATTAATTTCTGAATTTTGTTGGACTCCAATTTCGAATTCATCATGTAGACAGTCTTGTAAAAATGTCTGTCCTCTTGATTTTTCACCACATGATACATCATGGCAAAAGTAGTTCCCTTGAATGTATCATTCATTGAAGGATCACTATTTGGCAATGGTTGAGCAGCACCATCTACATCAATCAAAAATTGGAGCGTAGGTAATTGAGGGAAATAAATTGGATAGATTCCGTTCAAAAACGAGGCATCTGTACCATTCCAATGCAGTAACGTAACATTTGAAGAGGAGCAAGGATGTTGTTCCTGGGCCGATGCGGTACTACTCATGAAAAAACTACCTAGTAACATTATCCATACGGAAAGGATGGTTGTCGTCATGATGAGCCTTCTGTGGTTCATCACTACGGATGATGTTATAGATGATGAGCCTATGAGAGAGTTCATGTTGTGTGGATGAGTTGTTCACTTGACTAGTTTTAAAGTTTCAATAATAAATTAGAAAAATACGAATGGTATTCCCATAAAATCTCTCTGATGAAAGCAAAGGTCTCTCCCGAGAAATTCAATGATGATGAACACAAGCCGCTCAAGAAGTGCTTATTTTTTTTGAATTCACTAATTGTTGTGGGAAGGTCCAAGATGATACAGCGGAGTTGAATGTGTCCAAGCGTGGACAAACCTTGCGGCAATAACTCCGGACCATTTTGTTGAATTACACAACAAGGATCTTCATGTGAACAGTTGAATGCAAAATGCATAGAACAGGAAGTGCTTCCCTAATGTTGCAGTCAACTGTTTCTCCAAAAATTCTTTAAATTAAAAAAAATTAACCGTTTGAAAGTTTTAAATTGCTTGGGTTCTTCATTTGTTTATTCTATTGGGATTATCAATCACTGGAATTTTTGAAAGATACACAGAATTCATGTTGTTTAAATCGGAAATATATTTTTGAAATTTTGCCGTTACAGAATTTTATTATCATCATCATTGCCATCATCAGCGCCTTACAAATATATACTTTCAATAATTCATCGTTAAAACATTAACAACAACAACACTCGAAATCTGAACAAAATACAAGGATACTATAGTCATTCTCATACAACAAAATGCCTGAAATTTGGTGTACTACTTGCAATGCCTATGTCAATCCCGAACAGGGAGCTACTTCTGGACTTTACTGTGGTGAATGCGGAGAGGAATTGGAGGGTTTTTCCTTTGAAGAAGGAATTGAATTTAATGAAGATCACACAATGGCTGGACATTTCATTTCAACAGAACGAGCTGCTGCGAGTGCAGCAACGGCTTTGGCAGGCGTTCCACAATTTACCTATGACGAGAATGGAAAGTTGGTATTTTCGTCAGCCGTGCCACAATCGACCACATCAGACTTGGATCAACCCATGACAGAGAGTCGACTTCAAACCATTGAAAAAGCAAAGAAAAGAATTGCATCCATTGCACTCATGATGAAAATTCCCAATCATTATATTGATAGAGCCACCAATACATACAAATTGGCCTTATTGAAAGGTTGCACCAAGTCGAGAAATCCAGAAATTGTTGCCGCTGCATGCTTGTACTTTGTGCTACGTCAGGACAAGCAACCATTCATGTTAATGGATTTTTCAGAGGCCATGAAAACGGACGTCTTCTTAATTGGACATTGTTTTTTAGATTTGATGAATGCATTGAATTTTAAATTACCCACTGTGGAACCATTCTTTTATGTGAGAAGATTTGCGAATCGACTCTTGCTCAACTCGATCAAGGAAAATCAAACACAACACCAACACCAAGAGGCAATCAATAGAGTCATTCAAACCACGCTAAAATTAATTGCAAGCATGAAGAGAAATTGGATTCAAACAGGACGAAGACCTGCAGGTATTTGTGCAGCCGCCTTGCTTGTTGCTGCTCGAATTCATGGCTTTAAAAATGTTTCCAAGCAAGATGTTGTCAAAGTTGTAAAAATTTGTACAGTCACGCTCACCAAACGTTTAATGGAATTTGACAAGACAGAGACTGCACAACTCTCCTTTGACGAATTTGAAAAACGAGAACAAGAAATTAATAATGGTACCTTCCAAGGAACGATTGAAGTTTTGGATCCTCCAGCCTATTCGAAATCTCTCAAGGAAAAGATGAAACTTTTGGAACGAGACAAAAGTAGAGACAAGGAGTCCTCTCTGTCCGATGCTGAATCTGTAATGTCGTCACAGAGCGATACTCTTTTCACAGATGTCAACGATAAGGATGTTGAAGAGGCCGAACAACTCATGCAAGACAAGGATATTGAACAAATTACAACAGAACTTGAAAAGGGAGATCAATTTGCTCGAAAAGAACGTGAAAAGGCAAAGAAATTGGCCGAATCAACCCCTGTGATTAATACTCCTCCAAATTCTTCTCAACAACAGACAGTATTGACCTTAACAAATACAAGTGTGGATAAAAGCTCAGATGACAAGAACCTTGAAGAAGCTCACAATGAAGAGTTTGATGAATTTGAAAATGCTTTTGATGATCACGGTGATCGAAGTAAAAAGACACAACTCCAGACCAATAATAATCGAGGAGATGATACAATTTCACAGACGACACAACAACAAACAGTTCAGCCGCAAGAAGAACCACCTGAAGAAGAAATTGACACACTCTCTGATTTTGAAGATGACTCTGAAATTGAAGAAGTAGTGATCACGGAAGACTCAGAAATTGAGAGTCGAGAAAAGTTGTGGGATGAGCTTCATTTAGAGTATGTACAAATGATGGAAGAAAATAGAAAGGAGAAGGAGGAAAAGAGAAAACAAGGCGGTGGCAGAAGGCGAAGAACAGCTGGAGCTGCACATGCTGTAGATGCCTCCTCTGGGTCAATCTATAATATGGGAGGATTATTATATGGAACTCAACCCAATGTTTCTCAAGTTGAAAGTCATGCTGTCTACAGAAGTGCTTCAGAAGCTTCTGCCAATTTACTTCGAGCCAAAATTGCCCGTAATCTCGTTTCCAAGTCTCTCTTTGATGAGGATGAACTTATTAGTGACACACAGAAAAATCAAACTGTGGACGATATTCATTTGGATGAAGATACCGATGACTATAGCACGTCCAATCGCTCAGTGCTAGGAAAAAGAGCAACACAAAGTATTCAAGAAAAGAACAAAATTGATCGAAGAAATGAAAATGAATTTACTGATGAATTTGAGGATGAATTCGGTGAGGAGGAAGCAACAACCACTATTTCAACTAAAAAGTATAAGGCTCGGTAAATCATGAACATTCGATCATTCGGTGACATGTTAGATATATTATTTAGATATAATTCAATTGGAGTCCATTATTGGAGATTTGAAGTGTCAGATAGACATACTCATGAAAGTAACAACAAGATACGAATATACAACATTTCAGATTCATCTCAATGCACATTTATATATTTTAATATATTTACAATGTGATAGATTGTAATATTTTAATATAATATTTACAGAATGTGATTATTCTGATCACATGGATGACTCACACAACTATTATTACTTTTTAGCCTTACGTTTGTTGTGGTTGTCTTTCTCCTCCTTCTTCTCTTGTTGTTGATCATTAGGAACAAGTCTTTTACGACTCTGAACAAAACGTTGAAATATTTCCTCTGAACTTAAATGACTCGAGTTGTATCCGGCAAGTCCTTCTCTGAACACGACTGCAGTTTCTTGACACTTTTTCCAAGTATCAGCATCTCGAATTCTTTTGGTCATGGACAAGTGATTTAACAATCGATAAACGAGTACACATCTCATGTACTGGACTGCCTTCTCAGTAACTCTGAGTTTACCTGAGGGAGCATTGGCATCGTGAATGACATTCATGTGACGTTTAATAATGTGTTGCATGGAATTACGGGAAATGATTCGACTTGGATTTCTTAAATCACGTTCCAATTGTTCGGCTTTATGTGAGAGTTTGTGTTGCTTGCTGATGGGTTGACTCATCAAACGATCCAATTCTTCTAAATTTTGTTGTTGGAGATTGGCTTTGTTTTTCTTGGATGGTGTGGATACGGAAGATGAAGATGAGGGTGTCTTTTGTTTTCTGGCTGTCATGGTGATGACTCTGCAGTTTGATCAAGCGAATGTTTTGTGTTTTTTTAATAATATTTTTTGTCGAAGAGAGCGTAAGTGCCCTTTAAAACCCAACAGGCACAGCAAAAAATTTTGCGAAAGCAACGTCACATACAAAATTTTCAGTATTACAAAGACTTTATTATGGACCATCAATCCCTTCAAAGTTTTAAGAACAATTTCAATGTCAATCTTTGAATAAGTACAATAAAACACATGATCATCTTGTTTCACTGCTCAAAGAACAATAAGCTTATATATCATGTTCATTCATTGTCATATTACAAATGAAATCTCAAATTGTTTAACTACTTCTATATCGTGTCAGGGTTCAAATCCTTGACAGCATTCCTTACCATGTTCCATCATGAATGTTTTCAATTTTCAACCTCAATGACTACCGTTTAGGTGTTCTTCGTTTCATATCCTCTGCAATAATCTCATCAACGAGATTTGACAGCTTTTCCACTTTAACGAGATGAAATATCTCATAAAACTCCTTTTCAATGAGCTCAAATTGTGAGCTTGTTAATTTTGGATCCATGATCATGTCAATGAGGCCTATGTCCAAATTTGCAAATCTATAGGGGGTCAAGGATGTCGCTTTGGAAGCTACTGTTTGCTGTGGTGGACTTGTTAATTGAGATGAAGAGGATGTCACAGATTTGTCCTGCACAGTAGTAGCTTTTTTTGAGGTAGGAGAAGCTCTTACAGTTGCTTGCTTTTGACTATTTTTGCTACTAGTCGCCTTTGGAGGAGAAGTTAATAACTTGGTTCTCGCTGGTGGCCTCATACTCGTATCAGCTGAACTGCTACTACTTGATATGTTGGAAGAAGTTTTGGATTTTCTGTACTTGCGTGATTTTACCAAAAAAGATGTATCTCGTGAGACAACTAATTCTTCAGAACCTGAAAAGTCTTCACTGCCAACTCTTTCTGTTGTTGATTTGGAATTTCCACTAATACCACTGATCGACGTTTGAGATGAAACAACATTTTCGTTGGAGATTTGCTTTTGTTGTGTGCTGGTGATGTTTTGGGTTGGAGATGCTACATGACTGACTGTAATTTTGGTCCTGATAGGTCGTGCTACCTGGCTACTCGTGGTAGAGTCTGAGAGAAATCGGTTCTGTTTTGCGAATTCTTCAGCAGCTACTTGTAAAAACGAATAATTCCTTGTCTTTGATGGCGTGATGGTTTGCTGGCCGTCAGCGCCATGATTTGATGATCTGGTTGGCGTCTCCAATAATTTTTGTAATTCCTCCAATGGCAATCTTTTTGTTGGATCTGGATGAATCATTTGTGCCACACATTTGTGTAATAGTTCGTCATAATTGGCTCGTTGTAAACTGTGAAAGGTTTGCAGTAATTGTTCTGGGTCTGAAACTATGCTACCTCCTCCCGTCATTAGCTTATACAAAGTGGCCCCAAATGAAAGCACATCGGATGCAGGTGAAAGAAAACTAAACTCACTACTCTTAAATTCTGGAGATGAATTCATAATTTTCGCAAAACCAAAGCCAGAGAGACACACATGAATTTCGTCAGTCATAAAATTAATACTTTTGACTAAAATGCTATTGGGGTTGATATTTGTATGAATCATATTCTTGGAATGTATGTATTGCAATGCACTTGACACTTGTAGAATCAATGAACGTAACATCTTTTCAGAAGGCGCTTTTTCAAATCTGTCAAAGCACTCTTTTAAGCTTCCATGTTCCATATAGTCCATTTCAATGCAAAAACAATTGCCAAGTACGAATGGAGGGCGCATTGGAACTATGTGTGGATGGCTCAGCTCAGCAATTTTCTTTGTAAGGTCCAAGGCAAGTGAAGGTACTGTTGACACGCATTCGACAGCTCTTTTTTCACCAGTTTCCTTGAGTAAAACTTCCCATATGGGGTCTCTCAAGTATTTTCCCGATATCTTAACAACTTTTTGATATCTAGATTCTAACAGATGAATCATTTGTTGTTCTGACAGTGTTTCTCCGGAAATATTACTAGAATCAGTATGAATTATCAAAGACTGATTATGTTCATGAAAACGAGAAGATGAGGAACGGTGAGGTGTTTCTTTTGTGCTATCCAAATTTTGCGTTGTCATTCGAGTCGCTTTTGTGCTATCCAAATTTTGCGTTGTTATTGACTTCGAAGAGTCCATCATCACGACATCTCTTTCCTCATCTGATTCGATACTAATAATCTCGTGTGTTGTTTGCGTGGTTTCATGAATAAATTCTTGAGGTTGAGTTAGTCCAAGCCCTGGATCATCTAATCCAGTATTGTCCGTCGTTTGTGACTGTATGAGAGTAGTGTCCATTTCGGAGGAAGAAGTATTTTGGTGAATATTGCTTGTTTCATTTGTAATATTATTGCCATAGACAAGCTCCGATGTTACTGTTGCTGTTTCTTGTTGCTTTCCCGATGATGATTCAAAAGATTCACTCACTCGATGCAAAGTCAATATCGGAGAATCTTCTTCCCCCTCAGTTGAACCATCCTCTTCAACATCTTCGATCAATTCATCATCAGAGCCGATATTAACGACTTCCCGATTAAAACCATCATCATTACCACCAGCCATGTACTGCGAGTTGGACGCAAACTATTATTTTCAACAGCTAGGCTTTAAAGTTTTTTCAAAGTGCTATTATTCAATCAACACTGTGATGATGATGATTAAAAAATTATTCAACGACAATTCATTCATACACCAACAATGTTCTTCCGATAACGTTGGCGATAACCCAAATCGATTGAATGTGAACACAATAATAATAAAATTTTTTTTTGTTTCCAAAAAATTTTTCATCATCATCATGCTCAAGGCCCGCATGAAGGAAAAGCAACAACAGCTTGCTTCATCATCCTCCTCTTCTGCAACCACTCCAACGACTACACCTCCCAATATTTCCTCAACCACTTCTTCAAGTACCTCTCCAAATACGAATACTCCTTCTAACCTATCCTCGGTCGTTGGTACATCCACTGTTACTCAGCCCAATTTTGGCTTGGCTGCCATGATGATGACTCATGATGATGGCCAGAATTCCTCTATGGCCATACCAGCGAGTAATAGTTTGAAAAGATCTCATCACGAGCTCGAGGAAGATGAGGACGATGAAGAGGATTTCCACCAAGAGAGTTCAAGCAAACAACAACAACAACCACAGCCTCTTCATAGCTTGAATGAGGACGAGGATGAATCCTCCTCATCCACGGGTACCAACGAAGCAGCAGCAGCTGCCTCCTCCACTACCACAATTGCCCAGAACCAAGATCTTGCAGTTGCAACTATGGCTACGTCTTCTTCAACTCTTTCGACTCCTTCTGCTGCTACTGGCTCATCTTCTTCAGCAACCAGTGCTTCGTACAATGGAAGGCCACTGGCTCCTCCTTCCAAAGTTCTTCTCTTCTCCAATCTCCCAGTGAATTGTCAGAAATCTGAAGTGTTAGAATTTGATCTCTTTCCAAACGAATGCAAATTCCAAAAGGTCTTTCTCTTCAAGCAACCTGCATCCACTGCAAACAGAAACAACACCAAGAAGAGAAAGCGTGAGGGATATTTGGCCTTTGTCGAATTTGAGAGCATTGAGAAGGCACAATTATATTTGAGCAAGTTTGATGAACAAAAGATCAAGATTCGAGGTAAAACCGTCTATCTTAAATACTCTGAGAAACAACACTTGGAGGGAGGTTCGAACGCCAGTGAGGAGGATTTAACAGTCACCACAACTCGCAAAAACGTTGTCAACACCAACAATGCAACCATCCTTCATATTACTTTCACTCATTGTGATGAGTATCGCTATCCAATGAATGTCCACACTCTTTATAATTTATTCAACAAGTTTGGAACCATTGAGAAGATTAACATTTTCATCAAGAACGAGCTTACACAGGCGCTTATTCAATTTAGTCAACCCAACGAAGCTACAGAGGCTTTAAGAGAAATGGAGAGTGTTTTTGTGTATCCTGATTTGAAATTGTATCGCATGAACATTCAATTCAGCAAAAAGTATCGTGACGAGTTGGTCATTAAGGACAACAATGATAGAAACCGAGATTACACCCAACAATCTGGCACCACTCCCAGTGGCAGCACTTCAAGCAAACAACACGATCGCTACAATGCTCCTTCAAACCAATCCTTCTATGCACCACCACACGAGCAACAGCAGCACGATTCCTCCTCCTATCATCACTACTCGGAATCCAAAGGCACCTCTTCCTACCATCACGGTGGTGGTGGCGGATACAGCTCAATGCCTTACAGCTCCTCTGGAGGCTATTACCAACCCATGATGCCAGGTACCAATGGATCTTCATCTGGGCCTCTCGGAATGATGCTTCCTCCATACGGATCATCTTCGACTGATTATTTAGCTCCTTCTTCAGGCTCTTCTTCGTCGTCATATCCAGGTTTACCATCACACCCTACTGCACATCACGGAATTCCTCAACCACATCATGGCATTCCTCAGCAATTCCCTCCTTCTTTACTTCCAATGACACCACCTCCATCTTTGATGCCACCTCCAACTGGTACTTGTGTATTGATTGTTAAAAATCTTCCTTCCTCATGCACATGTGACCACTTGTTCGTGCTATTCGGACTCTACGGAGACGTCATTAAGGTCAGCATTAGCTTGTCAAAGAAAGATCACAAGACTCCGTTCATGGCCTTTGTCCAATTCAAATTCCCTCATGAGGTTGCGAACGCGTTACGTTTTCTTGGTGCACCTTACTTCCCACCTTATAATTCCTTCAACTCGGGTATGGCTCCTTCCGCTCAAGGTTGCACTCTTTTTGGCAAACCGTTACACATTGAACCATCTCTTCGCATTTTTGATATTGTCCCACCAAGATCATCCAAATCCAAGGAAACTGATGGATCTAAAGATGTCATTTTCAAGTCCTATGAAAACTCACCTCTTCATCGTTTCACTCCAAGACAAGGCACTCACGAGAGCTTTCGTGCCAATTACAAAAAAGTCATGAATATTTGTCCTCCTTCAAATGTTCTTCATATTAGCAACGTTTCTGGAACCACTACTGAGGACAAGATTAGAAGAGAGATTGATAAGCTATTTACCGAGTCCTCCTCTTCAAGCGACAAGAAGACTAAATCTCGCATTGTTGATTTCAAATTTATTGACTACAAGAAGACTCAAACATCTGATCACAAATTGAAGGAAAAGAAATCAGCGATTGTTGAGATGGACTCTACTGATGCTGCAACCACTGTTCTCGTTGAGTTACACGACATTTCTATTGACTCACATCATTTGAATATCAAATTTAGCAATCGAAATGGCTATTCAGACGTAGGCACTAGTAGTGCTGCTGCTGGTAGTCATGCATCCTATTACAATTATCCACCACCACATCATGATGACTATCGAAGAGGTGACAGACGAGGCTATCGAAGAAGCGGCGGCAGTAAGGATGATAAAATACCTCAGTCGTCCAATTCTTCTGAGAGTGTGAACACCCATCAAGACAACTAGGTTGTTACTCAACATCATGACAGTTCGTTCACAATTCCTTCTACAATAATTATTTCATCCTCCACGCTCAATCCACGTCACATTCCTCATTACGCTTGAAAAGTAGAAGCATTATCATCATCAACATGATCACAACCCTCATAATCAAAACAAGAACTCTCATCATTCTTCATAAATTTACTACTACTTCTTTCAAATTGAAACCTTACTTACTCTCAATCTTCATCAACACATCGCTTTCAAAATAATTTATAGATGCTTTAAAATCATTTCCATTGAAAATGATAACGAGGCAGCAAATATATCTTTCAACCTACCGTACAGCATTGCCGATTGAACGCTTTTGAAAAGAATTATTGAATTAAGGTAAGTGAATATGTTAGTGTTTGTTTTTCATTGGTGATGTATTTTGGGCCAAACTACCATTAATTCATTACCTTTTTGTTGTGGATGATTAATAAAATCCGAATTTGATCAACCACCAATACTTGGCAACACCATTCGATCGCATTTCCTAAAAGCCTGATTTTGATCGGCTGAAATGTTCGTTGTGTGAAAAATCAATGTCCACCGTTTCTAAACAAATCTTTGATTCAATCAGTCCAAGAGAAAATGCAACCACCTCGTTTTCAATGTTGTATTTCCTACAAGAACTCATGGAACTATCCAAGGTAGATGGAATTGGTTTCGTCAGTAAGGGCGTAAACATTTATTGTAGTTCCAGAATTGACATTTTGGGCCTGATGTAATTTTCGAAACAGGTGAAATAACACCTTACATATTCATGAAATTCTTATCTATCTTCTTGAGTGGCATCTTCAGACCATTTCAACATGTTCAAAAATTGAGAACTAAACTTTTCATAATCTTTCTCATTCAACACTTCAAAATGCAACACAGTGTTACAAGCATGAGAAGCAAACTTGTCAGATTCTTTCAACACAATCTTCTTTGGAAGTCCCATCAATGGAATGCTTGACAATGAAGTCATCCAAATCAATAATTGTCTCAATTCACTCACATTGAGGATTAGAATCACTTGTGTGAAATTGTTTCGAATTTTTGGAGAGAGTTGTGAGAAGTCCATTTCATTCAATAACATGGAAGCATCAATATAAGATTGACCATTCAATAATAATTTCAATTCCATCACTGTCAATTTGCTTTCCATGAACCAATCCTTATTTTGAGTGAGTAAAGATTTGACTTGTTGTTGTGAAGAATTTGAAACCACATTCCTCAACTGTTGAATCGAATACCATTGAAATCCTTTTGAAATTAGTTTCAATTTTCTTCTTTGAATGGGTGAGAAGAGAGTTTTTCTCAATAAATGAATAATATATTCATCAACATGTTCCATATTCACTGCCATTTCTTTCTTGTCAATACTTTGAGAATTTGGAGAGTAAAACAAGTCATTGCTGAATGATTCTTCAATGAATTGCAAGTCCTCATTGGAAGTATATCTTTTCATTTCTAAAATGTTTTCACAATATTGAGAATCATATTGAGAAACAAAATGTTTCCAATAAGAGATTTGATCTTTCAATGGTTTCTTGAGTTGACAAGTGACAATCATCAATTCTCTTTCTCTATGAATTTCATCAATAGTCACATCATTGGAAATACTCGCATCATAAATCAAATATTTGAGAATGAAATCATTGATTGGTAAATACAAGGATCTTTCATCACATTCCAACAAGACCTTCTTCAATAAAAATCCAAAAACAACCAACATTTGTTCTTCTTCTTCCGAAATATTCTCTTCACTTGAAGACAAGATGTAATTCTCAACACTCTGTGTTTCTGAACGTGTAAATAACTTTTCATTCTTCAAACATTCAGGGAAATATTTTGTAAATAATTCATTGGTTAAGGCGCCTTGATCAATTCCACTTTCCATTCCCGTTTCATCATTTTCATATTGAACTTGAAACGAAGTGTAGAGCTTTAAATATTGGTCAAATGTTGTAGGATTGTGTTGTGAATTGAAAAATATAGAATAGAGTTTGGAAGAGATTTGCTCCAACAATCGAGTTCGATTAATGGTCAATCGAGTCAAATTTTTTCCAACCTGATTTTTCATAATCTTTCTCAATTCATTCAATGTGTGAATCCATTGTTGAATTCGAGATTCTGGAGTGCTGAGTTGAATTCCTTGATGTTCCAACATTTCAGTCAATCCTTTTGTGAAATAATTTTCTTTCAACAATTCCATGGCAGAAGGTCTTTGATGAGGTTCGTCACAATTGAAAATTAGATTTAACATTTCCATCAGTAATTTTCCATGTTCATCATCTTCCTCAGGAGTTGGTAAATGAACCTTATTTTCACCACTGTATTGAATAATGGAGTCACGAGGATCATATCTTTGCTTTTTGTTTTCTAAATAATACCAACATTCTAACATGGTCACACCCAATGACCAAATGTCAGATTTTTCATTTGGAGCTGAATGACGAACTTCAGGAGCCATATAATTCTCAGTACCAATTCCAATAGATTTGTTGGTGAGGAGAGCATGAAGTTTCTTGCTACTACCAAAATCAGCAATGACAGCATTTCCATTCTTGTCAACCAAAATGTTGTCACTTTTCAAATCACGATGAATAATATCTTTCGAGTGCATGTAATAAATGGTTTCAACAATACTTCTCATGAGTCTTCTCATTGTTTCTCTACGTTCATGTGGTTGATGACTTTTCAGAGTCATGATATAATTTCTCAAATTTCCATTCGGGTAATAAGGCATTTCAATGTAAACATGAGGCATTCCAGGTTCTACAAACACACCATTCACCTTCACAATTCGATCACATTTTCCAAGTCTAATGATATTTGTAAGTTCATTAATGATTAAATGATAAGTCGATTCACCAAATGCAATTTCCTTAAGAACCACATGTTGATTGTCCTTCTTCATCAAATATGCATTAGAGAGACCATTATGTAATGACTCGATTTGGTGGTAATGTTTAAAAGACGCTCCATGGAGAAGGATATTCTTTGAAGATGCCCATTTTTGGAATTTTTGAGATGGAGTAGCTGCTCTTTGGACATTGAATTTTCTTTGAGAAGCGCTTAATATCTTGTCAAGCTCCACAATTACTTCAGGATATTGCTGAACGTGGCTCATTAATAGAGTTTTGAGCTCTGAAAACTTGTTGTTGAGAGTATTGAGGTTGGATCTTAATTTGTCTTGTTTTTCTTCGAGATGTGACCATTGATGTTCAGTCAAATCATCACTATATTGCAAATCCAAAGTAATCTTTGCTATTTCTGATTCACTCTTTCCAATGGTAAGTTTTAATTCTTTAAGCTGTTGATAGAGATTTTCGATTTCTTTCTTCTCCTTAATTAGGTTTTGTAAATATATAGATTTATATGACAACTGTCTCATGGATAAACTCAACATCTTGTCCTCGTCTGTCGTTTCATTCTTGGATGCATTATATGCCGCGATTAATTTCTTTTTCGTTGCTAGAATGGTCATCTTGTTTAACACACGATTATACTTCTCATATTCTTTGGACAATTCATCTCTGAGATTGTTTCTCTTTTGAACAAGTTCATTCACAGAATTGTAGTCAACTGTAGGTTCAGACTGAGAAATGACCAAACATTGCTGATCATTGAGAACCAATCTAGACAAGGATTGTTCACATTCGTTCAACTTTTGTTCAATTTTTTCAATGCTTCTTTTGACTTGAATATCTTCAGGAATGTGACTGTTTGAAATTGAATCATTCTTAATTTCATTCATGAGACGTTGAATAAAAGAATCAATATCTGATCCTTGTTGCTGTTGCTGCAATTGATTCTTCTCATGAACGACTTGATTGAGATTACTTTGCAATTTTTTCATTTCAACTTCAAATGTCTTCATTTGCTGTTGTTTCTCGTCAACAACTCTTTTCAAATCTGTCTCATTTTGAGAAATTTGTTTAAGCAAGGTGTTGATGGTTTGCTCGTGTTCAGAAATCATGTGGTTCCATTGGTCTCTCTGTTGTGTATGTTCGGATTGCATCTTTGAGAGTTTCATTTCAAGAGATTTCACTTGTTCTTCGAGTTTCTTGTTTCGTTCTTTCCATTCATTAAGATTGTCACTTGTTCTGGGTGCACTTGAAGTGGAAGGATTGTTGGAACGAATTTCATTGCTTGTTTGGAACATCTGAAGAAATGATAAGGATGGTGATCTCATGGTATTGTTGTTATTGCTGATCATAGTTGTGGAAGAATGGTTTGAATTGGAGACGGTTTGACGAGCTTGTGTTTGGAGTTGTTGTAAATTAATGTCATTTCTTTGTGCACGATGTTGAGTATCTTCATCAATTTGAATATCATTGTGGGCAAGAAGAAGTTTCACCATTTCCAAATGTCCATTATAACATGCAATGAATAATGGAGTCTTTTGAAATGAATGAATTTTGAAAATAAGTTCAATAATACTTACTTCCTATTTCATGAGTTGAAATAATTATAACATTTGAATTTCATTCAATTCAACAAACAATAATCAATACTTACACCCTATATTTACAAACATTATCATTCATTCTCAAATATCAAACACAATTTCATTAAAAACTTACTCTAGTATTCAAATTAAAATCAATTCCATCCACATTCAACAACAATTTCACAATTTCCAAATCTCCTTTCCAACATGCATCGCATAACATTGTACAATCATCTTTCTTTTCATTAATAATCGGACGCAAATCCATTCCTCGCAATTCATTCAAATCACCATCTTTGATGGCTTTAAAAGCACGATCAATCATTTCACTTCTTTGTTGCCTGTTTGACATGTTGCACTGTGAGGATGAATGATTTTCAATGAGACAATTTTTTTTTTTGATGATTGTTGGCGTGATTGTCATTTCTAATTTGTCAATTCAATTTCCATTCTTGTTCCGTCCATTCCCTCCTTCTTAATTTACAGTCTTACATAAATCTATCAACTCAAGACGCATGTTGCTTAACATATAGTAAAAAAAGGAGAGAGAAGATGGTTAATATTTAAAGTTCTAAATGATTTGATCACCCTCAATCCATAATCCTCTCATTCCAAGGTACACAGTTCGAGATTACTTAGAAGGTTTATTCCATAAAGTTCAACTCTCAGTGTGTTTCAATAAGGGAGCATCACGGTACTTGAGAAGACCCAAAAACTCATCAAACAAACCATAATGAATTATCACACAACATCCGGCTCTTATTGAAAGAATCTGACAAGTTTGCTTCTCATGCTACTTGTATCACTGTGTTGCATTTTGAAGCGTTGGATGAGATAGACCTATAAATGGAATGCTTGACAATGATGTCATTTAAATCAATAATCGTTAACTGACTCACATTGAGAGTTTGAATCACTTGAATTTTTGGAGAGTTGTGAGAAGTCCATGTCATTCATAATATGGAAGCATCCGTATAAGATTGACCATTCAATAATAATTTCAATCTATAATAATCACTGTAAATTTGCTTTCCGTGATGTATTGGTATAGTTGACGCTCCGTAGTACTTGAATTTCTTTGTTGCAGAATGATGCTTATTGGGCAACAAATTCATTGCCATCTACACGGGTCACAAACGGCAACTGACACTTGTCCACTAAAAACACTCTTCCCGTCACGTGATGAGGAAAGTAATAGGGACTCTTGTTCACATTTTTCAAATATTGAGAGTCATATCTGTTCAAATTCATAGATTTTGCAATATCTGCCATACTGCACACTGGTTTTTTCAATAATTGTCTAATTCGAATGACATGCGAAAGAAATTGACTTTCACACGTAGTTGCCACAAAATAATCTGCCTCCATAGCCATCCACATGGCCATCACTGAATTATGAAATTGATGATTTCTTGTGAGTGGCATTAAATCGCTTTGTGTATAAGTGAAAATATTTTCATCTGCTAAATCGCTTAATCGAAGAGATTCCACATTCTTATTTTCAAATCCGCTTCCAATAAGTAAAACATTCATTCCTTGTAGTAATTTGTGGTCATTTCCCAAATGTTTCTTTTCATAATGATTGGAGTTTCCTTTTTGGTGAACTTGTCGTCGAGTAAAGCGAGAAGGACTATTCGAAACTACAGAATTCAATTTCAGATCGTTTTTCAGAAAATGAAAGAAATCAGGTTGTGATGTCGAGAGAATATGTTGTGTTCTTTGACACCCTTGGTAACTGTCAGACTCTTGTTTTGGAAATTGGTTGTGAATCACCATGAAGGGTCTTCCAACCGAATCAAAAAAATTCACTCTCCATAAAAACTCATTCATCACTCGTCGAATATATTGATTAGGTTCAAATAAGTCAAAAAGATGTAAATACAGAGAAATTTCATCATCACTTGTTGGAAGCCAACGTCCCCAAACAAACCCCAAATTTAAAATGTCATTGTGTGTGAAAAAATTCGTCTTTTCATGGAGAGCAATTTTGAAAATTGCATCCACTGCTTCCGCCAATGGTTTTTCATCCCACGTTCGATTGTAAACTGAAAACATGGGTTTTGAAATTTTTAAATGTTTCAAATTCGTTTGTGTGGAATCTATTAAGGTCAAACCAAAACGTTCCAGACCGAGTGTTTGAATGCGTTCAATATTAAAAAATTCTGAAAGAGGTGAAAAGGTATTACAATATTTACAGAGACCGGGAGCTCCATTTGAACATACATTCGAGAGAATCATTTTTTTCGCTCCCAATTTTCTAGAAAGGGCCATACAAGTGATAATTTCAAAAAGTTGATTTGTCAATCCACAAATAACTCCAAAATTAGGTCCAATACTGCATGAGGTGATTCGATTTGAAAAATATTTTTCATGTTGTGGATTGGGTGCAAGTAATGGTTCAAAATTTGTTTTCGGATCATGTTCTGGAAAAATCCATGATTTCAATTGGTTTCTTTTTTTGGAAATTATTGTAGAGTCGTCATGATGATAAGAATCTTGTTCCGAGTAGATAGTTTGTGAACAAAGAGAGGCTAATCGGTTCTTGGATGGTTCAAACTTTGAATGATCGGAAGTTGATGATTTTCTTGATGATGATGAAAGAAAGAATAATCGGAGAACGAGAAGAGTGGAGAGAACCATGAAAATGAGAGCACCAAGTTTGAAGAACTGGCGACGAGTGATGATACTTGACTGCATTTTTTTTCAACGAATGATTTCAAGATTAGAATTAAAGTATTTCTTTTCATTTTCAAAAAACCTTTAGAACCGAACCTTTCCCTTACATTTATTTCATAAGCGAGGTTCCTTAATTCTTTTCTTTATTAAATTTTCTGAGAAAAACTCATGAACAAAACAAACGACTAAAGTCAAAACAATTTCCAAAAAAAAAACACAAAAATGCCATCAAACTTCTCTCACGACCAATACAAGAATTTAAACAAGCAAATCACACCACCCACTCCAACCTTTGAAAAGTTGCAACATACTCCTGCATCATCAACATCATCGGGTAATGCTCCATCATCCAATCCAAAATATAATTTACCCAATGCCAACAAAACCAGCTCCGGATTCAAGAAGGTGAGTCCATCCTCCATCTTTAGAGGAATTGGAAACATTCCGTTTGAGGCTGCTTCGTTTGAGAGAAAGAGGGGAGCTGGAATTGTTGCTCTCGTATTGGGAACGCTGATTGTTGGTACTTATGGATATACCATCTACAGTATGAAACAAGAGAATTTCTCGGATGTGGTAATTCCTGATACTTTAAAGCAAAAGGAATAATGATCATCATGATGGAACTATTTTACTACTACAACAAGAACATCCTGATATCATCATTATTAGGTGATATATGGATGAGGATTAATATTTACTGGAGCAATCATTTTGATTGGATTTGATTTTATAATTTTACTTCTTCATCATCAAGCCTTTCGTTTGAATATTGGATGTTTGGATTTTACGTATTCATGATTGTAGTAGTAGTAATTCAATTTCATTGGATCACATTCTCCATTTCCGATTTCTCAAATTGTTTTTCTTCAACAACCACCATCATTACCCACACACCTCGAGGTGACACACTCACACCAATTCCCTTCAATATCACATGTATATTGGGTTCATCACTCTTATAAACAACTACTTTTAAAGATTGATTTACTTTTATTGTTCTGTAGACTATTTCAGGGAGCCAACAATTGTTACTCAACAATCTCAACCTTACATCCACCAATTTCATTCAAAAAATCAGCTCCAAACGCCAACGATGGTGTCAAACATCCTGAATGTTTCTTCAATCCAGTCTTGGTTAAAATCTTCAATGTAATCAATAAGGCACTATCTGCTGTAAACAAGTAACCAGCTCGAGTCTGTGCTCTTCCACACACTTTGTAATTCTTATTTGTAGAATCTTGAAAGGTCAATTCGCCATAAATTTGAATTCTCGAGTCAGGACTTTCTTCAGGTCCTTTTGGCATGAGCCAATCAATGAGTTTAAAGATCAATGGAACGACGAATGGTAAATTGAAGAATAAAAAGAATAAAAAGTTGACCAACCAAATATTCATAATTTTGGCCACTGTTGCAGCATTCTTGGATGATGAAAAATAAACTCTCACATTTGGAACTCCAGTGCTCACATATGCCGTGGCTATATCTCCCCAAGGAACACTCATACAGGTCACTTGCTTGATTTCAGAATTTTCAAATCCTTCTTTTCCATTTTTGTAAAATGGGAATTCCTTTACGACGCGAGGCACTGGTTTAATGACACCTTGAACTCGTTCTGGAAATCCCCATTGACCACTTCTCAACATGTTGACAGCACTTTTTGTGGTACCACGAGAAGTTTGTGCGCCATTGCTGGTATTGATGGCAAGTTCGAGTTGAGCATTGGGATTGGTGGCTTTTTCTTTACCAAATTTAGAAGTGAAAGCTTCTTCGAGAGTTTTGGCAAGACAATCAGTGGGAACGACATCAAAACCAACACCTGGCATGAGAATAATGTCTTTTTCACAGGCTTGTTTTTTGACAGTTTCATTTTCGAGAATGCTTTGGAATACAGGGACTTGTCAAGTGTCAATTGTTAAACATGTGAAATCAATCATTGATTAAATGTGACAAATTCGAAAAAATTAAATAAAATATTCCCCACAAAACACCTACATTCTCCAGTAATATCCAAATAATGAGCTCCACATCTCAAACAACTGTCAACAATTGCCTTCGAAGTTGAAACAAAAGGTCCTGCAACCAACAAGACCAAATCGACCTTTCTCACTTGTTCATCAATCACTTCCGAATCTTGATCCAATGAAAATACTTGATATTCGACTTCAGATTTTTCAATTTTTTGACGTTTTAACATGTCTTCTAATTGTTCTCGATTCCGACCTGCAAGTACAACTTTTTTTAAAAGTCCATACTCTCGTACGAGTTTGACAATTAATTCACCAGTGTAGCCATAGCATCCATAAATCATGAAACGTTGAGAGGGAACGAGTTTTGAAACGAGAGAGTGAATGGTTTGATCAAAGTTTGAAGTGGACATTTTTTTTTGTTGTGTGAAGCTTGGTGAGGTCGGAATTCGGAGTGAATTTCTTATTTTGAGAGTTGAGGGAAAATTCAAAGAAAATTCCCGTCGGAAGGACAAGCAAAAGGAAACTGTGCGTACGTGCATTTGAGGGTTTGAGCACTACTCATGAAATACTCTCTCAATATTGAGGAATCCTTAAAGAGAGTGTGACGATATCAAACCTTATTGCTTTACAATATCTTTATTGAAAAAAAGATGTCATGAGTGAATCGAGTCAGAAATAAAAATTCAAATTTAAATTCACACACACATATTATCGCTCCTTTGATTTCTTATTGGGTGGATTCAATGAAGAAGAGGATGAATGACTGATGATTCGTTTCACGCCTGATGACGACGAGGTAGAGGCTGAGGAGGAAATGGATGTATTGCTTTGGCTTGATGACATGCTAGCTGTGGGCGAATTGGATGCAACAATATATCCTGGAACTTGAGATGAGGACGAGCTAGCATTATTGACAGAGGCAATCAGTCGTGTCAAATAATTGTCAATGTCTTGAATTCGTTTAACTTTGCGTTTCTGACTATCATTGGGTGTTGCAATTTTCTTAATTAGCAAACCATAGGGAGAGCCTGTCTTGATGGTCTCAAATTTCAAATATTTGGCATTGTCGGCCACAGCTTGCTTCACTTGTTCTGAGATGTGATTTCTGTATTTTTCAGCGTGTCTGAGCTCGATTTGTCGTTGCGTCTTGTCCTTTAAAAACAATTGTGCAGGTTGACAATACGCACAATGGCATGACATGTCAACATTGAAAGACCAATCTTGTCCACTGCTTGCTGATGCTTGAGACAAGTGCACTTTGACAATATTGGAGCAATTTAAAAGGATCGAATTGAATGCAATGTGTTGAAATGCTGCTTGTCCAAACTTTTGTTCAATATATCGAATGAGCGTGAGCAATACTTCATAATCGGTTCCAGCTTTGACAATAATAGTTGAAGTAATTCCAGTAATGTCATCCAACAATTTGTTTGTCCAAAAAAATACAAGAACTTGCTGGCACAAGGTGATATCAAGAGTTTGCATTGTATAAAAAGAATTAATAACGTGGTGTTTGCATTCCTTGAAAATAAAAGATGCCTCCTTATGATATTCAGAGTTGTTTTCTAAGAAATTTGTTTGTAGCTTTCTCATCATGTTCAAATATAGTGTAATGGAGTTGACACTTCTTAAAACGTTCTGCACTCGTGAAATTGAGGATTCCAAACCAATCATGTGAATTATTGTAACGAAAGTGTCCAGTGAAGCTTCTAGAGCTAGAGGAGTCACAGACTGGATCATGTTGTTGAAAATAGTATCACAAATTGGTCTCTCGTTTTGTTGCAGACATGTCCTGAATATGGATGTAATAATTCCCGTGGGTTTATCCGAGAATGTATAAATGTCCGTCCGTTTTACCAACAACTTTTTGAATGCAGGAGTAATTGGTAGTTCCAACGAGTTTAGCGTATTCAGCAGTATTCCAATGGCTTTAAGTGACATGTACTGAGATGAGGTATTGATACTGAGAGACTCAATGATCTTGGTAATAAATTCTTGAGAGAGTTGTGAATTATTAAATTTTTGTACCATTTCTATGGATGCTTGCAATCTTTGGCAAAGATTATTTGCGTTGGCACAGGTCGATCGAACCACACTCGTTAAAAACTCTTGCTTCAAATCATCAATCGAAAATTGTGACAAGATGACATTCCATGTATTGAGACTAATGTTGGCTGCAGCACTGGTAATGAACAATTTCAGCAAATTGGTGTCTTTCAAGTCAATGAGAATGGGTACGAGTTCACTAATATTACTTTTGAACATGGCTGAATCTTTTTGTGAAAGAGCAAGTCGAATGCAGGCATCTCTTCGTGTCGGGTCGCTTCGATATTGATTGTAGAGGCTCAAAAATCCCTGATAACAACTTGTAGGATCCGTATATGCCCAAAACATGTAGTCAATCTTTTTAGGAATGATGATTAAGCAAGTACAGCGGCATTTCAATTCTACGGGACCACTACCGAGTTGATTCCTCTCAGTGAATGGCATGTCTGTCACAGCATCGTAGGGAAAAATACTTGAGACATCTAAATTTAAGCTAAATTTTTGAAATCGAGTATCATTATTGGGTCCTAACAGCGAAAATGCTCGATATGAAATGTTTTGTGTCTCATCGCTCCTTGTTGAACGTGATACTACTGCTTTCTTCTCGAATACTGCAAGGAATAAGTGCAACTGTGGATGATTGGCATTGAAGTTATTGAAAAAATTGAAAATTAGTGCATCGTCATCTTTGAGAGACTCGAAATTAAAGGATGATTGAGGATAGACATTTGCGAGTGGGAAAACGGCCATGGGTGGCTCCTGCTCTGACCATTCATCCACAAGTCTTTTTAAATCGTGGCTGATTTGTGAGCCATGGTCGAATTTGGGTATTCGTCCTTCTCCCCCTGTGAAAATAATCTTGTAGACGAGACACAAACGATAGCCGCTTTGAATTGAGCATTCTTCTCGATCACACTCATCATACAGTGATATATACGAAGGTAAATAACTTGAAGAGTCTGAGAAATCGTATTGGACCTCCTTTTCGTGATATCGAACGATTACTGCTCCACCACTATACACTGACGGTAATTGAACGATGAGTTTTGCAAATGCTGGATTTTCCTCTTTAACTTGTTCACGAGTGGATTGTTTCTTTCCTCTGTGAAAATCAACACTTCCATCTTGGTACAGTACCAAGTATTCCAGTTCGTGTGAGATTTTCTTTTTTGAACTCACACCTAATCCACGTCGAGCAGAATCATCGACCACATCTGCAATCATTTTGTCCCAGTGTGGATTCGTCAGTTTGAATAGATTCGGAGTAATGTACCAAATCTTCTTCTGGTCTTGTGTTCTGAGCGGTGGCAAAGCTCGAGCGGATAAGCTCAACTTAATGAGCTCATCTGCTTGTTCCTTAGTAGCGATTGGTAATGAAACATGTTTAAATAAGGTTGGATGATCATTGGTGTACGACTCTGTTTCTTGCGATGCCATTGGGTGTGGTTGATTCCGTAATGACGAGGATATTGGGTCACTGCTTGGTGTCAGTATGGGAATTTGCAATCCTGGCAATCCAACTCGACAAAACAATTGCCCTCCACTCGAAAAACTTCCCGTGCACAAATCAGAGCATATTCGCTTCATCATGGTTGCCAGTCGTCGTATGCTGATAGTGGGATGATAGTTTTCGTCGTCGTCAGACATGATATCACCTTCATCCAAGTCATCTTCTTCGTCTTCTTCATGACTCTCGTCAGAATGATCAAAACCTTCAGTGCTTGTATCGTCAGAGGATATTGAGATAATGTCAATGGTTTTGGATGGCTCTTGCGTGACATGAGCATCTTGATGAGGAGGTAGTATGATGTTTACAAGTGGAGTTTCTTGATCGTTAGATGGAGGTAAGGTTGGAGCAATGGTAATCTCGTGAGTAGTTGTTGAAGGAGTGTGTAATGGAGCTGCGTTGAGGGTTTGGAAGAACTCTTCATCCTGTGAAGAAGAAGTTGAAGGAGGCAATCGGTCTTGTTCTTCAGGAATTAATTGTGGGTGTGAAGGAATGGATGGAGGTTGTTCTTGTTGCTGCTGCTGCTGATTCTTGTCAACGCTTATCGTTTCGTTCATCGTTGACAAAATGGGAAGTGAGTTTGATGTAGGCTCATCTAAACCAATGTCTTCATTAAGTGTTGTGTCAGCATCTTGCTGCTGTGCAGTAGTTGAATCAGTTCGATGAGGTGAAGGAGGTATTGAATCCAATAAAGATTCATCATCATTTAGGTCAATTTCCTCTTCCATCTCGCGTTGCAAATCCGATTGAAAATCCAAGGATGGAGTTGATCTTAATTTTGCTTCGGTTTCATTTTTGGTATTTTCTACGAGAGATGTCGATGATTCAGCTTGCGATTCGTTTAAATCTACATCCTCATCCACCATTTCCTCTTTAACTCTGATTGTCGCTTTGAGTTGTTGTGAAGCGTTCTCAGAATATTCAGAATCGAAATTGATTTCCTCTTCATCCTCTATTGTGATTGGCTCGTCAAAATTAATATCTTCATCGAGCATGATGCTTTCGGAAAAGGTTTGTGATGGTTGTTGTGTTAAGCTGCTGCCGTGTTGTTGTTGTTGAGCATTTGTTATTCTTGTTTCCCGATCGGATCGAGGTGAAAAAGTCGTATCCAATAACGGAGAAGGAGCGATTGTTTCTATCATTTCTTCCACTTCTCCCAAGTCTACTTCTTCGTCGTCAAGAGTTGCTGCAACAAAATTATGTTGGTCCATGTGGCTTACACTGATCATGGTGTTTGAATGCAGCGGACTAGTAGCCTCTTCGTTTAAATCTACATCTTCTTGTGTTTCTGTTTTGATCGGATGCGTTATTCCATGTTGTTGAGCATTACTGGATTTTGCAGAATTATTTTGAATATGATTGTTATTTGGTAATTCATCATCGTCAATGATAGAAACTTCTTCGTCTAAATTTATGTCTCCACTATCATCAACAACGATACTACTACTAGCATCGTCATCGGAAAGTGTCGGTGATGATGAACGTGCATGAATAGTTTCATTCTCATCAAAATTAATTTCTTCTTCAATACCCGATGCTGATGGTTGTGTTTGGTCTTGTACAGTTGCAAGATTCACTTTTTCATGGCTATGATTATTATTTACAAAAACATCTTCGTGAGCAGTTATAAAGTTTTCCGATAAATTTACATCTTCATCAACAGGTTTTGTTTCATCATTGTTGGACATTTTTTAAAGTTCAAAAATACAAGATTCTTAATGGAATTGTAAATCATGTGAATTGGATTGTAAATGCGTTCTGCAACAAGCTCAAGTTGATAGAAGAAGATTAACAACAAGCATAAAAAATGGGAACAATCCTCTGCGAAAATCACACCTTCTACTTTTAAGAAAAAGAAACCAATCATCATGTAAAATTACTTAATTTATTGACTTCACACAACTGTATTGAATTTTCACACAGTATGCCATGATTTATTCCTTCTTTCTTGAACCCAATGCACTATTCAATTCTCCGACCAACATGATGGAATTTGGTGTATTTCCTCCATAGACTCGTTTCTTCTTTCCAGGTGACAGTACACCCTGTCCTTCATAAATCGATTTCTCTATGGAGCTTAAAATTGATTTTGTTCGCTCTCTATTGTGAGACGCTTTGAGTGAATTCACAACGGGTAAGACGCTATTGTCACTTCCGATGATGACACTACTAATTGGAGACTCCATTTGTGTTTCCCGACTTTGTACATTCATTTGAGCCAAGCTGTCTGAAATTGATCCACTACTGCTGCCACTCGTAGCGATTGATTTCTTGCTGTTACTTTGTTCCAATTTCTTTTTCTTTTCTTGCTCCTTTTTGATATTCTCCATTGATTTGAAAAGATCTTTAAAGAAACTTGAAAATTGAAGAATTACTTCAGAAGGGTTCTTTTTCACGCTGGAAGGATCTTCTCCAAGGTACTCGGCGAGTTCTTGAAGCGTTTGTCCCATTGAAAAGTAACTTTCCTTAATTTTCACAAATTCACCTCTTGCTTCTTCATAGAATGGTTCAAACACGTCTTTGAATCGATCCTCCTTGGGTGTATTCTCGTCGCTTGAGACTTTAGCAATCTCTTGTGATAATTTGTTAATGCTCTTTTCCAAGGTTTCAATTTTTTCAGAGAGGCTAGACATGTCTACACGAGAAGCAGACTCAATCCTTTGCATTTCATCTTTTACGGCGAGAATTTCTGGATGCTTGTCTAGTACCATTTTGGCAACCATATCCAGAGCAGTCACATTCTTCTCGTTTCCTCGAGTTTCTTTAAGCTTGGACAGAGAGGCAATCTTGAATCCATGCATGGCCTTCTTGCTCAAATAGTTATTCACTGCTAATATCAAGACAAAGATATCTTGGATTTGTTGTGATTTCATAATTATTTGGCATGTCGAATGGATGAGACTCATGTCAGGAGAGACAGAGGCCTTTGTTTCAGGAAATTTCAGCTTGAAAATCCAGCACTGTAATCTACTTTGAAGACGTGGCACCTTAATGAGCTCTCTCAAATATCTATCAGCTGCATTTAAGGAATTATCGTCGCCTTCATAGTCCTTGAGTCGCTGAATTTCATCCTCGGTCGGTGCATTGGTCAGTAATTTGGACAACATTTCCTCTGAAAAATCACTGGACACTTCCAACAACTTGCATACCAATTCTGAAGCAGGAATTTTCAAATATTTGATGAATATGGATACATTTTGAAGGCGAGGTCCTTCCAGAATGCTAATAGTTTCCTCTTTCTTTTTGCTCAACAAATCATTACTTGATGAAGATACAAGTGTGACCGGCTTGGACTGATTCGAAAACATTTCTTCCAACTCTTTTTCAGGTAGCTCTATTTCAAACAATTTGGCATGGAGGTTATTTTTCACCCACAATGATTTCTGCAGCTTGGCATCTTCCAATTTGGAGAGACGAAGGTCCTTGGTTGGTACGGCTGCTCTTTTCAAAGGCAGTTCTGGCAAGATTTTTACAGTAGGAGGAGTCATTTGTGAAACAAATGGAGGGCTGTTCAGACTAGTTGGTGGTGGTGGTGGCATGACTCCAATGGAAGGTAATGGTGGTGGTGGCACTGATCCAACGGTCAACGGTGGAGGTGGTACATTACTTGTAGTTGCTGATGTTATCTTTACAGAAAGAGGTGGCGGTGGAATATTTACTAAGGGAGGTGGTGGAATCAATGAAGAATCATTTCCACAAGTGCTAATGATTGGAGGTGGCGGTGGAGGAATGGTTGTTGAGAATGACAAAGCACATGAAACAGGAGGTGGTGGTGGAGGTGGAATCGATGAAAAGTTGCTCATATGCGAAGAGCTTGTTGAAGGTGGTGGTGGCGGTGGAATTGAAGCATTCCCTCCACTTGATACAGACAAGGATGAAGGAGGTGATGGGGGTGGTGGAGGAATTGTTTGAGATACCTCTACTTTTTGAGGATTCATCGTCATTGTGGTTGGCTGCAAAGATGTCACATCCAATGTGGTATTGACTGATTTTTCGGCAGTCGTAATGCATGGCTTTTGCTGAGCTGCTAATTGTTTGAGTTTCTCTTTCAATGAGGACACTTCCTTGCTCTGACTATCCAATTGTTGCTGCAAAATGGTGGCTCGATCAATTAATATCCTCAATGAGGTCTCTCCTTTCACAATGGATTTACACTCACGAATCCATTCCGTATTTTCTCTGTGTGACAAATATTGGAATGATGCAGCATGTCATTATGGACCAAGCAATTGAACAAACTCCATGGCATTACAAAAACAACCACTTACTCTTTACACTTTCCAATCATACTCTCCACAATTATTCTCAAATCATCAGAAATTCCACTGGAACGACTAGTAGTAGAGTCATTCTCCAAGCTCTCTATCACGCATCTCAACTCATCGAAAATATCATCCTCTTCAAAATCTCCTTCCATGATGGCGTTGAATATTTCCACTTGATTTTTCAACTTGTAACTGTCATCGAGAATTTTCGAATCTAGCGCTGTGAATGACTGGAAATCCTTCTCAATATTTCTCACCTCGCTCAATATTCCTACACTCACGAATTGCTGTTTCACATTTCTTCGTTCTTGAACTAGTTGAAAGTATTGAATTTTACAAGTTTCCAACCATGAATTTTCAAGCGAGTTGATAGTAACAACTTGACACACACTTACCTGGACTTTGTCTCATCAAAATATTAATGAAAGCCAAAATGATATATTTGGTTTTAAAGCTTGAGGAACTTCTCAAATGATGAACCAAAGTGAAAAATCTCTCCTCACGAGCTACCTCTGAAAATATTTGAACACATTCCATAATGTTTTGAAAGTATTGACCCTCCCTATACAAACACAAACTCGAGAGCAAAAAGTAAATGGAATTTCGAGCTTCCTCACTCTCGACATGTAAACCCATCGTAATTTCCAAAATACTATTCGGATAATGAACAAATCGTTCAAGACCCTCATTATTCTTACATAATTGAGTAATATTAAGAATGAGTAGAACAATGATATCAAATTGCAACATGGCATGATCGATCGTGTGCAAAGAATTCTTACTGCTTGGATCAAACGGTAAACGAGTTTGTCCATAGATTTTCATGAGAATTTCTAGACCCTCTCTCTGAATGAAGCCTTCCTCAATTTCGGCATGAGTAGCAACCATGACTTTCAAATGTTGCAATGATTTTGTCAAGCCTTGCATGGAATTGGGTTGCTTGATATGTTCCACCACATCATTCAATTGAGAGAGTAAATTTTGTTCCGATGATGAAGAGGATGAACTATTTCGCATTTTCAACAATTCAAGCTTCTTCTTTTTCGGGAGTAGCATGAGTTTTTCAATGGCTTGAGATTGATTGGTGTTACCATAGGTTTTCTCGAGAAATTGTCTAAATTCTTCATCAAAGTTTTCTGGATAGGTTTCTTCATCGGTGGATGTTGTGGTAACTGTGGTGGATGAGGATGACAAATCTTGTGGGGCATGATTACTCCCTTCATCAGTTGCCACAATGATCTCACTCGGGCGCCTGCTGGATGATGATTTTTGATGTGCTGCATCACTTTCTCTTCGTTTAAAGATGTTGCTTAATTTACGCATGATTTTTTTTTGTTTTATTAAGATGGAGCGCTAAATTCGATTAAGGTTGTTTCTTTTTTTGAAAATATCGTTGATGATTATTGAGAACCTCGGACCAATCAAATTCATGAACCCAAGTGACAAAGTTTGCGAAACATTATGTTTCAGTTTTGGGCGTAGGGAGTATATATTTTGAAGTGGCAACAGTTTTACTGTTGTTGTTCGCTCAGGTGAATGTAATTATTAGATTTAATGTATGTGGCCTTACTTTGCTAGGGCTGGACTTTTCATACTCGATAACAATTGTGCTGCATTCAATAGTCCACTATCATCTTGTGACGGCTGGGAATTAACTTTGAGTAAGGATGGAATTGGAGATGGTGCTTCGATTAAGGAGGCCGATGAAGACACGTTTATCATTGGCTCACATGTGGAAGTATCACCTGTTGATGTTCGAATCATGACGGATCGATGTTCCATGAGCTTTTGGCTGTCTACTGTTTCTTGTTCAATGATACCAGGGAGACATTTATCCGATTTGGGAGAACGAGCCACGACCTCTGATATTTGAGCTCCCTTGGACTCAACGGGAGAATCGTCCATGAAAATAATTGTAGTATTGACACTATCAGAAATGTGTGTGAGGGAAGTTTCATGAATCTGTGATGACATGTTGAGATCTTCTTTTGTCGCTACTACTGGGTTGTAACGAACAACTTCGATAAGAGGAGATGGTGTTAACAGAGCTGGTGACCTACTAAGGCGTGAAATTCCCTTACTTTCCTCAGTGCACACTTTTGAGGATGTTGTTGCTGGTTGAGGCATGTTTGTTTGGCTATTGTCATCTCCACAACACAAGCTTGGAGTTCCATCACCTGAAATTTGCGCCTCTTCCATGTACGCACCAGTTTGAGAGTCGCTGACAATGAAGGCCTCATCCAAATTGGCTGACACCTTTTCTCTTTGCACACTCTTGTTCGAAAGGGTGAAGGACTTGTTCAAATCTGAAATATTTTCCAACATGTTGGGAGAAAATGACATGCACGAAGCAACAGAGGAAGCGATAGACATTTCAGAAATGGCGTCCTTTTCAACTGATGCCATATACTTTCCACTTGCTTTGGAAGAAGAGGTTGTCGTTGTGGTCTTTTTCTTTCTCTTTGTGCTGCTTCGGTCAGGAAGTTGAATTTGTGCAATGGAACAACTATTGCTACTGCTGTGCTTTTTGACAATTTCCTTTAACTTTTGCTTGAAAACTTCAATTCTCCTCCTTTCCAATTCGAAATTGTCATTGTAAGGGCTTGTAGGAGAAAGGATAGTGTCATGTTGTAAAGTCTCTTTGTGATCTTCAGCTTGTGAACGAGAGTGCTGTTGTCGATGGAGTTGTAACGTGGGGGACGTTCGTGTCACTCTCTTTGTATCATGTTGTTGTACGTACATATTGTCACACTGTACTGAGGTGTCCACTAATTTTCTTTTCTTTTCTATGGAATTGCTCGACAAAGTTTTGTTAGGGGTATGGTCATCATGTTGTTGCTGTTGTACATCACGATGATAAGTCATAGACGTTGGGTGTTGAAATCTCTCTGTGACTGTAGCATGTTCCTCTGCATGATCTAAAAGTTGCTTTTGTTGGTGATATTGAGCCAACCTTAATTCAAGAGTATTCTCGAAAAAATTGAAAATGGCACTCTTCCTTGGAACCAACTTGACATGGCTTGCCACGACCAAGTATTTGATCGAAGATTGGTTGCTTTGAGCTTGCTCTTGCGGAGCGTTGACATAGACCTTCGATTTGGGAATGTACAATACTTGGCCTGGAGCAAGTTGCGAACGATGAATCACTTTGGAACTGCTGTTCTTGTGAAGATCTTTCTTTCGAGATGACCATCCCTTCCCAATACTTGTCTCATCTTGCAAATTACAAATAATAAGCACTGCCTGCTCCTCTTGGGTATTTTCCACAAGAAGCTCTCTTCGGAGCAACTGGTTGTGTTTTGGTTGTGCCCCTTCAGAGTATTCAGCAAATGACAAGGCTGATGTTGAAGAAAGGCTAATGTCGTTTTCGTGGTCACCACTACTGTCATGATGAGACTTGCCATCGTTTCTCTTTTGATGATGCAAACGAGTGGATGACGATGGTAGTGCTTTCTCGTTTGAAAACAAGAGATGAGAAAGATCATCCTCTTGCACAGCTGCGAAAGGCTCTTTCTCAATTTCAACCTCACCTGTGATCATCCAATACAAGGAGGGACAGAAACAAGCACTTCCTTTGAATAGAGTTGACATGAACGTGGTATATAGGTTTTGGAGTACTAGCAGTAGCAAAAGTTGTAGAAGCAGGTCGATAAACAAGCCTTGTGAGGATAAGGTTAAAATTTTACAGAGGTTTGCCAAAGAACTCAATCGGTGTGGGTTGTTTTTTTTGTGTTTGTTTTTTGGCTGTAATGATGTTGGTGGTACAATTATTCCTATTTTGTACATGTCTGACAAGTGAGTGCGCAAGGCTTGTTGTCAGCAAACTAGATGACACCACGTTCAATATTTAAATAAATATATTTACAATCATGATGGTATTATTTGTATTTGATTTCCGAAAATTACTTTCTGATTAATCTTCGGATGGTACAGTTTCCTTCAAATATTCCTTCAATCGGACACGAATTTCCGATTGATCATCACCCAACAAGGGACATTTCTTGTATTCACATTCAACTCGCATCAAGACCATTTCCAAGGCTCCTCGTATGACTCCACAAATAATATTCGAGTAGTACAATCGTTTTTGTTTGATAGTCTCTGGTAATTCTACAAAATCGTTCAGTGGATTCTCATCAAACACAATACTATACTCGGTTTGATCCTTGCTCCAATTTGTAACATTTGCATTAATTCCCAAGAACATTTTGAAAGCAACTTTGGCAATGGACTCTGCTGTATCTTTAAATTCACGACAAGCACCCGAGCTCAAACCGCTTTTTGACATGAACTCATCAATCAAACGCATACCCATCTTGTATCCCATCTTTTCCAATTGGGTATTAATTGCTGCAACGTCCTCATAGTCTTTCAACATTTGAGTTACGAGAGAGCCATACGTCATGGCTAACAATTCCGAATTGATTTTCTCAATCTTGTTGAATGTGGTTTCACCTATCTTTGCTAGTTTGCTCATTTTTTTTTTGTAAAGACGGGTTGGCTTGTGAAGTGTGTAAACAGCCTTCTTGGTTTGTTTCAATCTTTGAGGGTAGATCCACTTCTCTCAAGAGGAATTCTTCGTCCAGAGATGATTCCACAATAAACGATTTGTCATCAGAAAGGGGTGGTTTTAATTGAACAAAAAAAATGTCGAAACGAACAAACGAGCATCAACTCACCTCCGAAAATTTCAGGTAAGCAATCATGATTCTCGGTCTTGTGTTATTTAAATTGTAATTCATTTGGTGTAATGTGTATTTAATAATATTATTCGGTCGGAATATATCGTATAAAATTGAATACATCCACTTGTCATCATTGCAAAAACAATGAATATTTGTTACATTTAAATCAAATGTTTTTGGCACACCGTCGCTTCAAACAATAACCATAGAGACCAAGATGATGAGGAAACAGAAGCTGGACACTTTGAAAAGGCTTCCGAAGAAGAATTGAAAGAACGAAAGTAAGTATTATCTTGTAAGACACTATTTATTAATTCAAACATTTTAATTCTTAGACCCATAAAGGCCAAGAGAAAGCAAGGTACCGCTGCTACTTCTGGTGCTCCAACAACAACCTTCAATTTTGCTGTTCCTCCAGCAACAACAACACCAGCCACCGCTACTTTTACGGAAACAAAACAACAACCTGTTTGGAGCTTCCCAATTCCATCTCAACAACAACCACCATCAAAGCCATCTACATTTACTTTCCAGACCACTCCAACACCACAAGATGCCAAGGATCTTCGTATTAAAGAATTGGAAAAAAGAGTGAAGGAATTGGAGAGTGAAACTGAGAAGCTAAAGAAACAATTACAAGAGAAGAAGAGTGCTGGAGCTCCATCAGAGGCAACAACATCATCGAGCAGTGGCGGATTTGCCTTCTCTTTCGATCAATCCGCAACAAAGCCATTTGCATTTTCATTCCCACAACCTTCCAGTAATGGAACTGCAAATACTACTACTGCCACCACTGAGCCAACTCCAACTTCTGCTACAGCAACACCCGCAGCCAGTCATACTGCTACCACAGCAACACCAACAACAGCAGAGTTGCAAAAAACTCCAACACCAACAACAGTGGAAGAGAAAAAGACAACAGCACCCACCGAAGAGAAAAAGCAAGTGGCTCCCGAAGAAAAGAAACCATTTAATTTCAATTTCTCCAGTGGAACTCCTTCTGCGAATGCTAGTGAACCTCAAAAATTCTCATTTGGAGGCTTTTCAACATTTTCAAATCCATTCAGTGGAGCAGGTTCGAATCTAGGAGAAAGTCAATTTAAATTTGAAATTAGCAACAAGCCACCATCGTGGACCAATACTGATTACAAACCAAAAGTATCTGGTGCTAATGAAGAAGATGAGGAAGGTGGAGAAGCAGCAGATTACGAACCAAACCTTCCAGCCATGAGTCACAAGATTATTGACCTTCCACCAGTTGAGTTAAAATCCGGAGAAGAGAATGAAAAATTATTGGGCGAATATAAGGCTGCCAAATTGTATCGAAGCGTGACAGTGGATGGCAAGTCCACTTGGCAACAACGAGGTGTTGGTACATTGAAGATTAATTTGAACAAGAATGATGAGAAGGATGCTCGTTTAGTCATTAGAGCTGACTCTGTTCTCAAACTCATCTTGAACGCTAAGGTTTTCAAAGGAATGAAATTCTCTCCATTCCAAGAACAATCCATCATTTTCTCTGTCCACAAGAGTCAACTTTGTGAACAGTTGACACCAGAAGAGTTATCCAAAGAGCCAGAATTTATTCCTCACCTTATTCGTTTCGACCAAAAGAATGAGCGAGCTGATTTTAAGACAAAGGTTGAAAGTATTGTTGCAAAATTGGAAAAGTAGAGCATGTGACTCTAAATGCTGCGTACAATAAATTCTCCAAGTTACATTCTGTGTGTGAAAACAAAAATATTCACACAGTGAGATAGAGAGATCATCATTCCTCTCTCCAAAATATTGAACTAGAGACTTTCTCATCCACTCATCATCACTGGTATCATCCCGAACCATGTGTCTGTATCATACGACCACCTCTTGCTCTCCCCGAAAATTCAAAGCCTTCCTCACACGTTTCTGTTGTACCTTCGGATGTGAGTCTTTACATCTCTCCCTATTCCTTATAATCATTCCATTCGTATTGAACACGTTATGGATTTTAATTCCATTGGTAGATGTCGAGGAATATATAAAAGTAAAATCTCTGCAAGATGCAATGAAGCAGCAATCCTTTTGGAGGAGTCATAACAATCATCATAATCATCATCAAGAATATTCATCAACATTCAATATTATTCCGATTCATCGATCATTTCATGATTTATCCATAACGAGTAGAGGAAGTGATGATCCTGGTCTGGCAAAGCCGAATATGAATTCTCATCATGAACATGCTCATGATTTTCCTTCATCTCCTAATTTGGAAATAACAATGAATGATCATTCACGGCTTGAAATATTCAACAACAAGGATCATCGAGTTGCTTCTGAAATTCATCATTTCATTGCACATGAACCCAACAATATTGACATTTATGGAAATTATAATGATCCAATTGGAAATAGCAATTCATCCAATCATACCAACTCGACACAACCATTCATGATCAATGTGTCAGATTCCTTTGTCGGTATTGGCATTTCTTATTACCTCTATTATTTATTTGCCTTTTTAATTTGGTTGGTGTTTTTCGATTATGTCATTCCTGGAAATTCATTGTGGAATGTCATATTTTCAACACTTGCTTTCACACTATTAACGATTATTAGTTTGATTGCCATACATAGAGCGAAAGTTGCATCCTCGAGGTGGTCCTATTTATTATTGGCTGCATGTGAAGTGTTGTGTGGATTTTTGGCATATACTGTTTTTGTGATTCGATTTTTAATGACCACAAATAGAATGGATCGACAAAAGATTTTACAAAACTTGAGGACAGAATTTAAGAATGACACTTCTCGATTGGAGTTTATTCAAAATGAAGTGTCACGTCGAAAATGGAAACAAAGTCACGTGTTACAATTGCATCCACCTTCTGGAACCTTTGTATTTTATAACAAAATTTATTTGCAGGAGGATTATTTACCTCGATTTAGAAAAACTATTTTTCGAAGAGATCTAACTCATAATCATGATGGTTATCCACAACAACTCGTGAATGACCGTATCAATAATAATTTGGAAGAATCATTGCTAGAGAAAGATATACCAATCGAAAATGATCAAAATTCATCATCTTTTCAACACTTGGTGTCTTTGGAAGAATTTTCACAAAATCATTCACAACAAGAATATGTGCCACCTCAATTTACTGGTAGTACCAACATGGATAGCAACACAAATACTTCCATTTATTACACCCACAGAGAAAGTGAAAACGAACTCGTGACAAACTCTCATCATTTGATTTATTATGAGATTGAAGTTTCCAAAGGATGGACAGATGCTCTCATTCGATCTCTTTGTTTACAAATTTATCTCTTTGAAATGCAATCGAAATATCGAACACCGTATGCCTTCTCGACCATTGTGGATGCCAATAAGGGATTTTCCTTAATGAAATTATTCAAGAAAAAGTTTTCAAAAGCAAGAACTCAACCGAATGGTACATCAAGAATCGATGATGATCACGACTCTACTCTGGAAAATGGTGACTATGTGACATTTGACACTGTCCTTAAAGAACACGGAACAACAGCACCACATTTTAAAAGCAGACTCTCTGTCACGTCTTCATCCACAACCAACGAACAAGAATCAAATTTTCAATTCATAGAAGAGGAAGTAACTCCAAAAGAAATTACACTTCTCGAACCAAGAGAACATTTAATGCAACAAGCTAACAAATCTTCGTATTCCATTATGAACGATCTTGAGGAAGGATGTTGCAAGGTGACATCGAGTGTGAGACCTCCTGTGGAGTATGCAACACGGAGCTATATGATTCGAACGTTATTTCAAGTGATTTTATTCAAACTTTTAGTTTTTCTGATATGGTTTTATTTGCAATCGTTTGCTTATGAAATTTGGGACGTTACTCCAACAGAAAAGCAAGGTTTGTATTTTATGTTATTACTATTGAAGTTTTATGTTTTTTTCTTTAATATTATTGTACAATTTATTTAAAATATAATTTCTAAATATATATATAATGTTTGGAAAATCATCACTGCTTTAAATGAATCTTTTTAACAGCCGCCATCAGTATTGGATTTCAAGTGTCCAGAGTTGTCATTCCATTCATTTTAGAAATGGCTTCTGAACTTTTACTTCCAACTCGCCAAATTGAATCCATTCGATATTTTCACAATTTTATTTCACAAATGTTTTTTGGCCTATTTTACAATTATCTCTTTGTCAAAGTTGAGACTTGGGAAAATTTCTTCCTTCTTACATTTATCAATTTTATTTTCCTTCTCGTACAATATCCTATAAGAGCGACACGAACTGCCTATTTGATTACACAAAAAGTGAAATATTGGGTGTTGTACATTTTTGGAGTGAAAAAGTTCTTTCCTTCTCTCTTTTATAGAGTGACACTCCAAACATACGAGTATTATTTGAGGAATATTTGTGCCAAGTTTTATTTGTATGAAATTTCGAGTGTTGCTTCGACCTTGTCCTTTTTGATTTTCACCAAAATTTTGAAAAGTAGTGAATACAACTTTCAAATGTATCCCATTCTGAGAGATCGATATGTGAAAGATGCTTTATATGAATTGAGTATTACCTCTCAATCGTTGGTATTGCTTGCCTTGGAATTTCTCTTTATTGTAATTATTCATGTGTTGGTGTTTATTGGAACGAAAAAGCATATTTCAATCGTGGGAAGAAAGTTAACTGTTGAGGATGGAAAAACTAGATTTTTGTTTGCCTTGTTCATGTTACACTTTTTGAATGATATTCACTATTTCATGCAAAGAGCACCAAAGTTTTAAACATGTGACCACCAATGGTCATCCATTAAACAAGCATTCAATTTGAGTGAAATAATTCAATAAACAAGTAAAGAATTAATAATTTATGGAATTCTATGACTAGTGTGATCTTAAGTATCATTCAATGTATCTCATCGAGTTATAAATTAATGTTCAGTTTTCGTGATTCTGAGAGGGTGAGCTTCAGTGTTGAACACAAACTTATCCAATGGAATGACATGATTCGGTGAAAATAATAAATACAAATATTTCAGAGTTTCTGCCAAAAAGAATGATTGTTGGAAATCATCCTTTCCAGGTTGTGTGGACAAGACCGAGTGCAAGCCACTGTATCCTCCACCTTCCACCTTACAATGCTTCTCAATAGCTTGGAAAATCTTCCATCCCCAATCTCTGTATTTTTCATCACCTGTCACACGCCACAACACGAAAATACTTTCCACAGTTTCTGGTCTTAATAAATATGTAGGAACACCAGCTCTAATATCTCCAGAATCCATTAAGAATGTTTCAGGTCCAATCTTTGAAGGCATTTGAGCATACGATTCATAGCATGTTCTAGTAAACTCTGCTCCAGCTTCAATTTGTCTTGCATTGGAAATTGGAGAGTCTTTGGTTGAGACATTGAAATGTCCTCCCAATGCGAACATACCAGCAGCAAAACAAGCCAAATGATCCACCTTGTGGAATGGAGCTCCACTATATTCTGCCACATAGGTATATCCTTGACTCGATTTTAAGAGCATGTGATCGAAAATACCTTTCAAAGAATCCAAATATAATTGTCGATATCTTTCTGCAGCTTGAGTTCCTCTATTCATGAGCCATTGTTTGAGAAGATATTCAAAGAAGGAATCACCGAGAGCACCTAGAGAGACATGATTGGTGCACCAATTGGCGTTTTCTGGATGGAATTTGATTGGGAAAAGCCCATTGGATGGCTTTTTTTCGACCATCAAGTCCATAATTCGTGTGACCAATTTGTGATACTTGTCATCTCCAGTTAATTCGCTCAATCTTCTAAATTCCAATTGGAGGGTACCAAATTCACTCAATGGACAACAATTTCCAGCCCATGCAAATGTCTTCTTTTCTCCAGTTCTCAAATTAATTTCAGAATAGGGAATTCCTGTTGAGGAACTGAAAGCAGGAATCAATCGATCAGCCATGTCCTTCGCTTTCTCAAGAAAAATTGGTTCCTTACTCAAATCAAATGCACTCAAAAATCCTCCCACCACTCGAATTGTTGTTTCGAAAACACTAATTCCTCCATTAATCGTCGAAAAGGATGGCATTTCTTTTTTCACATATTTCAATGACTTTTCAAATTGTTCCTTCAAACCCATAATAATCATGGTGTCCAACGAATCAATAATGGTCATACCAAATCCATTCGAATCACGAATCCAATTATGGTAACCACGACTCACTGGTCTGTATTCATCTTTTCCCCAAACATTTTCATAACCCTTGAAAGCATGAATGAAAGCTTCTCTCACGGCTCTTCTTCTCTCGTTTTGAGAGTCAGACATGAAATCAACATGGTAATCTTGAATGGTCATTAATTCGGGTCGTTTCAAATAGGCTGGTTTTCGTGTATTACCATCGGAAACTCCACCCGATGAAGAGGAGGTTGTTGATGAATCGCTCGTACCACCATTATCAATAAGATCATCTTCAAGAATGGTATTTCCAGACAAGGCATTTTTCAAATCATCATCAGAGTTTCCATTTTTAGAATTTCCAGTCATCAAATATAATCCAACAATCAGCAAGATGAAAAGTAGTAAAATCACGGAAAAGATTCTGTTTTTTCGGATGAACATTTGTAATCTTGCTCCGAAGGAAATTTCGGTTTTATCTAATTTGTTATAAGAATCAACTGGTTCTAAATTTGATGAAGAGGAAGAGGGTTGCATCCCGACCACTATGGATGATGAGCCACCAATACTACTACTGGCAGATGAGGATGATGGCACAGAAGAGGTAAGAGTTCGTTTTTGAGTGAGCCCCGAGCCCATCTCGGGATCGTATGAACTCATTTTTTTGTTTTGAAAAAATATCAAAACTTGGTTGACTGATGACAGCACTTTTATGAGTTCGAGATGACGGAACAGGTGCGAGGCAAGATTTTTGTGTTCCAGAAGAAGAGTCTCTGGGTGCTGTTTTAAAACATATTGTTGATCGAATTCAAGTGATGATTTTAATATTGTCAAGTTCAAGTCAGACCCAATGTTTTAATCATGTCAAGCTATTCCGAAACATGATCTCAAAAATTATTAAATAATTTAACACCATTTGGCACTTTTGTTGAATTCATTAACATTTATAGAACTAGCTTGAAGAATTGGTTCGTGATGAAAATATATTTTTCAAAACAAAAAAAAATTGAGATTTCAAAAATTCAGTTTGCTCTCGTGCGTTCATGGATTCGTCTGTGGTGGGATTGACCTTAATGATGGCTGAGAGTGGGGCGATTTCAACAAACTCTTCGGAGTTGATTTCCTCGACTGCCAATGTTGGAGGAGAAGACAATACTACTACTCGGGCAGCCTTGAATCATCATGATAAGGCTGACTTGTCGTCTTTGGTACTCGCTCAAAAGAACGATATTGAAATGGGAAATCAGTTGATGAGAAATGATGGGATTGATCAAGACACCATTGTTGGAGGAATGGCTTCATCCTTTTCATTGTCTTCAACGTCCATGAAGAGAATAATCAATAATAGAAATGGCCATAATCATGAAGAGAACTCTTCACCAAAACAACAACAACAACAATTTACACCTCAATACACGATGGTAGAGGCAGTTACTGTAGAACAAGATCCATTGGGAAGCTATAGAGGTAAATCCAGCCAGCCATTTTCGGGAAATGATGATAAATTATTATCATCACGGAGGAAGGCTCTCATGGAGGTATCACAAAGTATACGAACTTCTACATGCGTCAAAATGAGTGTATTGATTCTTATTGTGGTGACTGTGGTTGCCTTATTGTGGATTTCACCCGCTTCGGATTCTACAGGAATTAATGAGAATGGAATGATTGATTCTGTAATGCATTCTGAATTAAGCTTCATTGAGGATTGGGAATATGAGGATGATACTTTGAATATCAAAACAAATTCTATCAGCACAACAGCTGTTCCGATCACAAATTTGAAAAATAAGGAAAAATTGGTACAACCAGATGCCAATATGGCCACATCTTCATCGTTTTTAGATTCGTCCCTCTTTACTATTGATGATTATTACCATGATTTTGAAAATGACAAGACCAATCAAAAGGAACGAAGAAAAGCCGTGAGAGAAGCTTTCATTCATGCTTTCAAGGGTTATGAAAATGTTTGGGGAAAAGATGAATACAGACCAGTGAGTCGTGGTTACCATAATTGGATTCGATCAGCTAATGGATTTGGTATGACCATTATTGATTCTCTAGATACAATGGTCATTATGGGTTTGAAGGAACAATATGAAAAATCTCTACGCTATGTGAAGAATGAAATGCCATCCTTTTCGACGATTAATGGAGGAATTAGTGTTTTCGAAACAACAATTCGAGTGGTGGGAGGATTTTTGAGTGCGTTTGATTTGAGTAAGGAACCAATTTTTCTTGAGAAAGCGAAGGATATGGCTGATCGATTGATTCCTGCCTTCAGTTCTCCCACTGGAGTACCCTATTCTGAAATTAATTTGAGAACTGGTGAAAAGAAGATATTTGCATGGACTGGTGGCGATTGTGCAATTTTGAGTGAGCTCGGATCGTTACAATTGGAATTTCGAAGATTGAGCGAATTGACTGGAGACAACAAGTACCACGCTGCTGTCACAAAAGTCATGGACGAAATGATACGTACACGACCTCAAAATGGCCTCTTCCCTCACATGTACAATTTATTGTCAGGTCGAGCATGCTCGAATCGTGTTACATTGGGAGCGCTTGGCGACTCATTCTATGAATATTTGCTGAAACAGTGGTTAATGAATAGGGGCACAAAGGCCGCTGAAAGATATCGTATGGTGTATTTGGAGACGGTTAAGGGTATTTTCAATCATTTAGTTAAAACGTCACGCAAGGGCTATACGTATGTGGCAGAGTTTGAACGAGGTGCTCGTAACAAGATTGATCATTTGGCATGCTTTGCAGCTGGCATGTTTGCATTGGGAGGACATTTCAATGTCTCGACACCAGAATTCTCAATCTCCAATGAAAGACAAATGGAAGTTGGTGCAGAATTTACTCGAACCTGCTACGAATCGTATCGACAAATGCCATCCCAACTGGGACCTGAGGTGTTTGCCATGGATGAAGTCACTGGAGACATTCGAGCTGGAGGTGCTTCCTCGTACTTGTTGCGTCCTGAAACAGTCGAGAGTTTGTTCATCATGTGGCGAATTACTGGTGACGAAAAATACCGTGATTGGGGATGGAATATTTTCCAAGCTATTGAGAAACATTGCAAAGTTGAAAAAGGTGGCTACAGTGGTGTCGTGTCAGTACTCAGCACACGACCTCACAAGGATGATTTCCAACAATCATTCTTTTTGGCAGAAACTTTGAAATATTTGTATTTATTATTTTCACCGAATCATGTCATTCCATTGGATAAGTTTGTGTTCAACACTGAAGCCCACCCTCTCAGAATCACTAAAACTGAACATTGATTTATAACTCGATGAGATACATTGAATGGCTTTGAATTTCATAAATTCGGTCAGTTATGGCAGGTGGATTTTACAAAAAGGGAAAAAAATTTTTTGCGAGTCCATAAGGCTTACTAATGAACAGTGTTTATTGCACCTTGCTATGAATACACAAGAGCAGGCTCGGATCGTCGATGATCCTATTGAGGGAAAGCAAACCCTTGAGGAAGGATTAAATACGATGAGAACGGATGATGAACCAACAAACGCGAACCAAAGTATGAATGATCTCTCTCAGCAAGAAACTCATCTCGCACACGAAGAAGAATACACTCCTCCCAGACCTCATCAACACCATCATAAGAAACGTCATTCCGGTCATTCAACTCAAAACAATAACTCTTCCACTACAACAAAGGTTTCATCTAAACAGCATTCTCATTCCAAAGAACCATCAGAGCCATCTTCATTGCCTAATGAATTGGCCAAATCCTCAATGCTGAACAACACCTCCGAGAAATTGCATTCAGAACCAGAACAACAACTCTCGAGAGGAACCCATTCCAATCTCACCACCTATTCTTCATCATCATCTTCATCGGCGACGCGTGCTTCTCATTCATCATCGCTTCGGGAAAGTCAAATGGCTTCCTCAACAAGTGCCTCATTTCATGGTGGAGCAACAACGAGCTCTCCCAACTCATCCCTATGCAAAGAGAATACTCTCTCATTAGATTTAAGTTTGGCATCATCAACCTCGAATGGAACGAATCAACAAAACTCGAACGGAGATAATAACTCTCCAAGTTGCCATCACAGTCAAGGCAACAAGATTCTACATCCGAACTCTTCAGGACGAGAGGCTGAAGAATTATTCGTCAAGACGCTTTCGGCACGTTCTTCGGCAGCTCATCAAAAACCTCAACTCCCAACCACTCCGAGAGGAGAAGGCATTGTTTCATCGCCAAAACAGCATCACGACCACAACATCAAGCAGAGTACCTCTTCTCCGAAAAAAGGATCAAGCCTGTCTGCTTCACGAAAAACTAATTTCTCTCCCGTTATTGCACAGGAGCAAGTGGAGCTGAATCGATTTGATGAGGTTATCCATTGTGACTTCAATTATGGGAGACATCAGGAAATGCCTTATAAGAATATGACAGGATTTAAATTGTGCAAAATTGAGGAAATGTATCAAAATTATTCGAAACCTATTTCGGTAGTTCCACATGTATTGGACGAGCACGAGATTATTGAAAAGAGATTGAAGAAGATCAAGTCCACATCTCCTGTACGATCCTCGAAAGAATTTGTTAAGGGCGATGCCTTACTGAATTTGACACATGATGGTGATACTAATAATAATGGCATCACTGATATCGATTCACCGCCTTATTACGGTACAGTCATCAATTCAAGTGTTTTGACAGATGTGAATGCTTCGGTATGGACGTCTCCTCCTTCCCCAATAGCATCATTGAATTCATCACTGCAGCAAGAAGGTCCAATATTGAGATCGAATCAAGGTGAAGCTGAATTAAGCCATGATGTCAATCCTAACTTGTCTCATGTGCATAAACCAACAACGAACAACAATTATTCGACTAGCCCAGTCAACCAAAGGTCAATCAAAATTTCTGCAAATATTCCATCATGCAATAGAGCCTCTTTTGAAACTTGCTCCAGCATGGCTTCTCACAATCATGACAGTCCCTCCAATCAAAGATGCTCGAGCCCAAATTCAACATCACCCAAGAATGCATGGTCAAAATTTACAGGTGGATTTTATAATAGTCCAGTAAGTTTTTGTTGATTTAATCACATTCCACAGCGTGAACTGAAAACACAAATAATAGAGATGTTTCAATACCAATTATAGACACTGCAGTAATCCAAACTATATTCGAAAGAATGCGGATGATGAGTCCACACTCGGCGGAAAGAAACTTGGAGTGGAAAGCGAGAAAGATCCACCTATGGTTAGAAAGAGAAAAGAAGAGCTGCACAACATTCACCAGAACCATAGCGTGGTATCAGCTGCAGCAGCTTCAAAAAGATATAAAAGCAATGGACACGCCACAACAGCAACTTCATTACAGAGGTCACACCTTCAAAACAACAGCGCCAACACTACTGAGGACGTCAAGTCCTTAATAGATTCTTTTGAAAAAACTTCCTCCTCTCAAAAACAAAACCCATCTCCGAAACAAGTACCATCTGATTCTGCTAGTGAGGACCTTCGAATTCAAGCAAGAAGGACCACATTGTCACCCTCACCCCCACCTCCAGGAGAAATTCGAAAACGAAACAAATCCAGAAAGGAGGATATTGAAAAGAAGCGAGATGAAGAATTTGGAAACCCAAATACTCTTCACTCGGTTCATGCAGCCTTCGTTCCACAATTTAAGCCAAAGAGAGGTTCATGTACCTCTCCCACATTCAATGAAAATCCATCAGTGACCAATCTGCGGCCTCCTTCCACTTTCCAAACGAGCATTCGGAATGAAATTTCAATCTCTGGCAAAGACAACCCCAAAAAGCATTCCATTCTCAATTACCATGACTTTGATCGAAACACAATGTTCATTGGAGACGACCATGAAGAAAATTTAAAACAACTGTTAAACCCAAAGAATTATCCCATTGATTTGTTCCCTCAAGTGGATGCCTTACGACGACGAAAGAATATGGCAAAGAGCGATTATAAGAATTTTAATGCCCTTCGATCCTCCAAGCTTCATACGGCCTATTTATGTTTCAGAAGGAGCACGATCAATCGATATCTCGACTACAAACATCAACTCGAAAATCAATTGGGAAAGGATAAGGCACCATTACTGCCACATCACTTGATGGGTGAATTGCGAGCTATCAATGCAACACCACAAGCGAGCAAAAAACAAATAACCAAAACAACAGAAAAGATTATTTTGGACGAGGATAAGATCCAAGTGTCGACGACTGTTTCAGAACAAGTGGACCAGCATACCTCACTTCCAGAAATTGTTCCTCCACCATCCAATAATCAAGTCAATACCAATTCGAGAAATGCAGTATCGTTTACTTTGTAACAGACGAGAGAGACGAGATGCACCTTAATTGAAGAAGTTTTCCTAAATAAACACTACCATGGACGAGCGTGCCAACAAGGTCGTCGATTGCACAAGCATCTGATTTGGCAGCCATATCTGTCTCTTCGATATCCGTGTCTGCAACGTCTACTACAACGATATCTTCTACATGGTCTTGGTAAGCAAGTACAACGCATGGGACATCCACATCGATCTCGCCAAAAACCATATCGACAGCTAATTCTACAAGCATGTCTTCTGCAGGGATATCGAACGATCCATCTTTGGGCAGTCACAGACTGGCATTGGAAGTATATTGAGGAGAACAACACAACCAAGAGAAATGTTACTGTTAAACAGAGTACACTCTTTCTCATGACTTTGGTGGTTTGAAGCATGATTTTGTTTTTTGTTGGATGACTATCTAATATGAAATTGTCGTATCTGATCATACGAATGCAACCACTGTTTTGGGAAAATTCTTGAAAAGCAAGCTTTGATATCAAAATGGCAATTCGACAATTCGAGTTAGAATGAAACTTTCACCATGACAATTAGAATTCAAGAGTCGATTCGTTTAATAAACTCTAATTATTTTTCAAATCTCGTTCATTTCCTGCAACTCTATTTCAATAAAATCCAATACTTTGCAATGTATTATCAACATAATTTTGATGATGAATTCCAATTGGAGCTCTCAACAGAAAATCAGGAATGTTGAAAGCTTCAACGAGATCCAATGAAATATGTTTCAACTGTTCATAGAGGCCAGGAAGAGTCTCATCCATAATCATTTTCGAAATTTCAATATCAAAATATTCATGAATTAAATAATAGGAAAGATTTTGACGAATCATGTAAAGAGAAAAGAGACTACTGATCGTTTTGAAAATGTCACGAGTTTCTTGATCCACAGCATTCTTCAATAAAGTTTCCTGCATTCTAAAAAGTAATTCCAATTCGACATAACTTCTCGCAAGTTCAATAATTTTGACCAAACTCAAATTCCATGCAGTTTGGAAATCTTTTTGTTGTTTCAAATAAGATCCAATTTGAGATTGACACTCTTCCAATAATTTCTTCACTCGAAATGCCAATGCCTTCTTTTGGAATTCTAAATTCAACACATCGTTTTGACCTTTTGGATTCGTAGATTCACACGTCAACACTTGTTGCAAGACTGGAGAAAGACTTGTCGTCGTCTTGGATTGTTTCTTCTTGACTCGATCAAATAAATATTTTGCTAATTGTTGATACAAGACAATCGAGTCGCCTTCAGCAGTTCCAAACACGCACATATCATTCATCAAAATTCCAATTCTATTATTATTGGAATAACCATGTCCTCCACATGCCACTCTTAATTCTCGTAATGCTGGTGTTGCATATTCACAAATATATGCTTTCACACCTGATACAATGGCATTGAAATCCTCAAAAGATTGCGTCTTGTTGTCAGAAATAGAATAATCATGAGCGAGAGTGGAAAATCCTGAAAAGAATGCAAACGTGTTGGCGAGCATGGGTAAAATTAAATCATGATGAGTGGGATATTCCCAAATTAAATTTTCCTTTTGGTCCTTGTTTCCAAATTGTCTTCGTTGATGAGCGTAACGAATGGCAGTGGTTAATCCAGCTATAGTTTGTGTTGGTCAATTTTTATATATTCCACACAAATGTCACATTTCAAAGTGTCAATAGCATGATTTGAAATTTGTAAAATTCAGTCACAGATGAAACATTTGACACAAACGTACTTACCTTTCAATGCATAGGTTGGTCCTGCACAATACAACAATCGACCCATAGCAAGCGATGACAAGGTGACCGCAAATCTCATATTTTCATCCTTAATGGCACTCACATACTTTCCATCAGGAGTGACTTCACCATAACGATTCAACAATGAATCCAATGGAACTCTCACCTTTTCAAATGCAATACATCCATTGTCCACTGCATTCCATCCTTGTTTCACTCCAATATCTTTGATTTGAATTCCATCATACAATTCAAGAGTCAATGGATCTCGAATGGGAACTACAAACACATGAACTCCCTTATTTTCATTGTTCACAATTAATTGAGCGAATACACAAGCTTTGGTTCCATAAACTGCTGAATTTCCGACCCAAATTTTGTAAGAGGATTTTGTAGGTGAATGAATGATAAATTCTTTCGTAGTGGGATCAAAAGTTGCCGTAGTTTCAATTCCTTTCACATTGGATCCGTGTGTTAATTCAGTCATCATGAAACACATGATATCTTGTCCCTTGTTAATTCCATCCAGTAAATGACGATGTTTTTCAGTGCCTAATTTGTAAATGCAACTTCCACATAATTGTAAACATTTCACCATTTTGGCAGTGCATGACATGTCATAGATAACAGTTCCTTCCAAAACTCCCAATAATGAATAAATATCTTGATTCACGCTCTCAACACTCAATAAACCATGTTTCATGAGCTCACGATATTGAGAATCTAATTGTTGTCGATATTGATGCACTGACCATTCATTATCAATGAGAAATTGATCTTGTGAAAGCAAATGCCAAATCCGTTCTCGACCTGCAGTGAAACCGTGGGAAAATAATGAAGCTTCCATGGATTGCAATAAACGAGAGGAAAGTGAGTGTGAATCTGGAGCGTAGAAAGCTTTCAAATCTTTGAGAGATTTCGTTTGGGGTAGAAGTGGACGGTCTTGTCTGTTGTTGTGTGTGAAAATTAAATTAATTGACAATGATTCCGAGTTGTGAATAATATATATTCGCAAAATATTTCACAATATTCATCCGTATGTCATTATAATATTGATGAATATTAATTCATTCATTATTAATAATAAATATACATACCTCTTCAGTGCAAGATGAAATCGACGAAGATTTTCATTGGCTTCTAAATCATTGGCTTTTGGAAGACGAGTGTTATTACTGTCATCATGAATTCCACCAGAACAGGAATGAAGACTCACCAATTCATTGGTTGTTGTGTTCTGCTCCGAAAGAGAAAATGGATTCAAATGTGAAAGTAAAATGTCAAGTCTTCGTTGTTGTTGAATGAAGGACATCAAGCTTGATGAATGTTGTGGTGGTGGTGGTGGCGTTTGTTTTGTGATGATCGATTTTAATTGTGCGGAAACAATGACCTTTCAAAAAGTGAAAATTTGTGAAAACAACCTTTTTTAGAAAGTTGAGTTTGCTTGCAAGGGCTCTTGAATTGGTTGAAAATCATGTTTGAATAAGACAATTCATAAATGTGAATGGAAAAACATACCTACAATTTTAATTTGGAAACTAACCACAAGATACAAATACTGTATGATATTATCACAAAAAGTCACTGTAAGCGACGGTCCTCTTAATGTTGAATGTTTGTTCCTGTTGTCATTTTCAATAAAATCCAATGCTTTGCAAGGTATTATCCACATAATTTTGATTATGAATGCCAATTGGAGCTCTCAACAGAAAATCCGGAATGTTGAAAGCTTCCACAATGTCCAAAGTCAAAGATTTCACTTTTTGATAAAGCGCTGGAAGAGTCTTATCCATGATAACTTGTGCAGTTTCGATGTCAAAGTATTGATGAATCAAATAGAAGGAGAGGTTTTGTCTCAACACGCTCACAGCATAAATATCAGAGATGGTTTTGAAAATGTCACGAGTTTCTTGATCCACTGCATTCTTCAATAAACCTTCTTGAATTCTAAAGAGTAATTCCAATTCGACATAACTTCTTGCAAGTTCAATAATTTTGACCAAACTCAAATTCCATGCTGTTTGGAAATCTTTTTGTTGTTTCAAATAAGATCCAATTTGAGATTGACATTCTTCCAATAATTTCTTCACTCGAAATGCCAATGCCTTCTTTTGAACATCCAACTTCAAAATATCACTGGTTGCATTTGTAATCTTACTCTTGTTCTCTGCTGTGAAAATTTCCTTCAATACTGGAGAAGAAGCAGATTTCTTCTTGGCTTTTTCGAACAAGTACTTGGCTAATTGTTGATACAAGACAATCGAGTCACCTTCAGCAGTTCCAAACACACACATATCATTCATTAAAATTCCAATTCTATTATTATTGGAATAACCATGTCCTCCACATGCCACTCTTAATTCACGTAATGCTGGTGTTGCATATTCACAAGTGTAAGCCTTCACACCTGAAACAATGGCATGAAAATCTTCAGCAGCAGCATGGTCTTTGATGCTTTTTGTGTAATCATCCGAGAGAGTAGTAAAACCAGAAAAGAAGGCAAACGTGTTGGCGAGCATGGGTAAAATTAAATCATGATGAGTGGGATATTCCCAAATTAAATTTTCCTTGTTGTCCTTGTTTCCAAATTGTCTTCGTTGATGAGCGTAACGAATGGCAGTTGTTAATCCAGCTGTAGTTTGTTTTGGTCAAGTTATATATTCCACACGAATGTCATGTGTGAATGGATTCAAATCATTCACCTACCATATTCCACTACTTACCTTTCAATGCAAACGTTGGTCCAGCAATGTACAACAATCGACCCATCGAGAGTGCAGAGAGTGTGACACCAAATCTAGCTCCCTCATCCTTAATGGCACTCACATACTTTCCATCAGGAGTGACTTCACCATATCGATTCAACAATGAATCCAATGGAACTCTCACCTTCTCAAAGGCAATACATCCATTGTCCACTGCATTCCATCCTTGTTTCACTCCAATATCTTTGATTTGAATTCCATCATACAATTCAAGAGTCAATGGATCTCGAATTGGAACTACAAACACATGAACTCCCTTATTTTCATTGTTCACAATTAATTGAGCGAATACACATGCTTTGGTTCCATAAACTGCTGAATTTCCAATCCAATACTTGTACGAAGACTTGGTTGGTGAATGAATGACAAACTCCTTCGTATTGGGATCAAAAGTTGCCGTAGTTTCAATTCCTCTCACGTTCGATCCGTGTGCAATCTCAGTCATCATGAAACATCCAATGTCTTGAGCACGATTCAAATCCATCAACAAGTGACGATGTTTCTCAGTTCCCAATCGGTAAATACAAGTTCCATACAATTGCAAACTCACCACCAATTTGGCAGCAAATGAAACATCATAACTCAATGCAGCTTCAGCTGCTCCAAGAAAGGCATAAATATTCTCATTCATCAATTCTGTCGAGAGAAGTTTGTGTTTCATAAATTCACGAAATTGCATATCCAATTGTTGTCGATATTGATGAACAGACCATTCATTATCGACATAGTACGACTGTTCTTGAGCGAGTACACGCCATACTCCTTCTCGTGTCTGAGTAAAGCCTTTGGAAAAGAGTGGGGCTTCCATGGATTGTAAAAGGCGAGAAGAAAGTGAATTTGAATCACGAGCGTAGAAGGCTTTCAACTCTTTGAGAGATTTAGTGTTGGGAAGAAGAGGAATATCTTGTCTGTTGAGTGGGGTGGAGCAATCCCGATTGGAATTTCAAATAATAAGATATATTTGGAATTAATGAAACAAGGGTGATTTACAACAATTTTCAAAAGATGAATCAACAAACCTCTTGAGTTGAAGATGGTACCGACGAAGACTTTCATGAGATGGTAAATCCATTCCGCCAGAATATTCTCCCGAACATGGATTTAAATGCATTGCGTTCAAGGAATCCAGAACCTTGTTGTTGCTGTCTGTTTCCTGATTGCATACATTCCGTAATGGTTGTTGTTGTTGTTGCTTCTGATCGGTTGGAATCAAGAGATGAGAAGAAACGATTTGTATTCTTCTTAAAGTACTTTCGTTCGTCATGATGGTGGTTTCAAAGGATTTTTGTTTTTCTTTTTTTTGTGTCTCTTTTCGGACCCAAGTTCGAGAAACGAGGAAAAATTCAATTTTCCGATTTACATCTGAACATCCGTCATTGATTCGGTCCCTTTTGTTACATGAAATGCATAATAATGCATAGAAGTTGCTTTAACAGTAAAATCGAGTCAACTTGGAAACTCTATTTGGATTTTAAGAAAGTCATGATTCAAGATAGGACAGATCATTTCGTTCATGAAGAAAGAAATTGAAAGAAATGAAATTATTAGAAAGAAGAAAATTGAATTATGAATGCTATTGCATCCTCCTACAACTATGCGTATTTTTGAACTGAAGAAGAAATTACTGATTTTAGGGAGGCAGAAATCGTGAAGCACTTGAAATACTCTCAGGGCTGAAAAAATTGATCACTTTTCATTGTTAATTAAAATATTAAGGCGCATCATTATTGAATGATCTAATAATTTCAGTAAATTATTGGGACTGTTTATACACTTGTTGTGATCGTATTTAAACAACAAGAATTAATCTTGTGCGACATTGGATGTTGTGGCAATGTCACCACCAATGGCCTGATTGATAGCTTTAGTGGCAGCTTGGAAAACTGTGGAAACCCAAAAGATGTAAATCATGTGAATAGTAATGGCCAATCCACACATGATCATTCCGTTGGTCTTTTTTGCCACACGACTTGTACCATCGTTTAAGGTGGTCGTGCCTGCTGTTTTTACGAAAAAGCTTAATCCATAATTAATGCTTCCTGATAAGGCCAATGTGAAATAGAGCAAATAGAAGAGTACATTGGAGGTTGCACCATGAGAAAGTCCCGAATAAATCAAGCTACAAAATTGAATGACACAGAGCGGAATTAATTGATAGCCAGTAATGCATAACAAGCTAATGAGGGACATGTTTGAACCCAAAACAAGTCCAACCACAAAGAAAAATGCTGATGATCCAATCCAATATACAAATGACGAGAATAAACTTGTTCCTAACAATGTTCCTTCATTCTTGACATGATTAAAATGATAATCATTTTCATAAATATGATTGATCCAGTAATTTGAAATGATATTCATTCGAAAATTAAAAATATATATATAATAATTATAGTGTTGTTGATATTGTCATCATCACGATGAATAAATTAATGATGATAATGAATGACCGACTTACCACATGAACGTTAAAAAATTTCATTTGAAAATCCAACAAGATGGCCAATGAAAAAACAGTGACCAGTGGAATGAACAAATCGGGATCATCCATATGCGAAATCATGGGCTGCAGTGGTTTAAAAACCGTTTGAATCACTCTCTGTAATGCCTGTTTTTCATCCAATCCGATAAAGTATGGCTTTAAAAATCCAAATGAAAACCACGAAGGTACGACTTTTCCGGTTGTGGATTGCAACATGGATTTAGCAAATTGAAATTGTAGAGAATTAGAAAAATCATCATCCAAAGATTCATTACTAGTAGAGGTATCGGAAGTGGTTTTGTTACCTCCTTTTTGTTGGGGGATGGTTTGATCTTCTATCACAAGTTGTTCATCAAAATTTGATTCTATCCAATCTTGTTGTTGTGAAGTCATTTTTTGTTGTTGTTTTTTGAAAATCCTTTAAATTTTAAATATCCTCGAGAAAATAAAATGCACTATGAGCCAACGATCTTCGTGATGATAGAAGCAGGCTTGGTCAAAAAAAATTTCTGAAAACAGTCAGGAACGATGTAACGATCATTCATCGGAACAAGTAAAATCAAATTCACAAATATTATTAGCTCTATTTGTACACAATTCGTGGCCAATACATGTTGGCGGATCATAAATAAACTAATTAAAAATTCGGCTCATTTTTACGCTCGTAGTGCAAGTGTAATTTCTAGAGGATATTGATCAACAATAATTAACCATTCGCATAAAGAGCTCAATATTAAATTATTCGTTATTTAATAAAAATTAAGTTAATATTTAGCGAATGAACAGATACATTTTAAATTTGTTCTTTCGTTGAATAAAACATGTATTTATTTTTCCAAATGTTATTCAATCTAAACACCTGTCAAAAAACATCCAATCACATCAGTGGTATTTTAAAAATACCAGTCTTGTGCAAAGGGTTCTAAAATTCTCTGAAACACTCGAAAAAAATGAAACGAAAGCAAAGTCCAAATACCACCCACAACGCATCTGAAAAAATTCCTCTTGAAACCACTCCCTTCCGAAAATGTGCCAAAATTGATGATCCATGTCAAATGACACTCGACCAAATGCATCCCATGGAATTGAAACAATTTATTGAAATGTGTTCCAAGATACTCCGAAGAAAAATGTTGAAATTAATCTCAGAGTTACCCGATGAAATTGTACTCTTGATTTTGTCCTTCCTCTCACCTGTAGAAAGAATTTTCAAGGGTCCCTTGTACTGTTGTAAACAATGGAATGCATGTATTATGAATCATGAGAATTTATGGAAGACTCTTTGGGAATGTTTATTTTCAACGACTTGCAAGCCTTATGACCCCGCCATGAAACCGTATCTTGTACAAAGAGCAAGATGTTTTTCAAACAAGTGCGAAATAACTTATTGGAAATGTACTTTTGACAATGGTACGCCTTCTTCAGAGGATGTTGGGGTTATTATTGGAGAAAAAGGCTCTGACCTCGTTGTTTCAGAATCGGAATCTCATGAGGATAATACATCAGACGACGATCATGATGAAACTATCAAATACGATGAAATACAAAAAACGAAAAACCTCAACATAGAAAAGGACAGTCTAATGACAACCTTTGCATCACAGTTTTATATATTGACCAAGAATCCAGAAATCAAGTACGTCTTAGCAGAACAGGGCTGTGGAGGAGCATATTCAGGTACTACATTGCTCTTGATTGACCATCTTGAGGGTGTTTACTTTCCTCCGAATAAGACCACCTTCTTTCATTTCACAATAATGGCTGATTTTGAGGAGGTAGATGTTTCTTCTGATGAATATTGTTATTCATTTAATGTCACTCTTCTTGTGACACTGCCTGATAGTTCGAACAATCCAATCACTTTAATTTCTAACAACAAAATCATTGAGCCACACGTGAAACAGCTTGTAACCGAGCACTTGCAGCTTTCTAACGATGAATTGGTCATTCCAGAACATGGCTGGAAGCGTAAAAAGAACATGATACCAACTGATGAAATTGGATGGTTTAAACAATGGTTACAAAATTTTTCCTTTTTTGATTCAAGTTTCGTCGTGGATCGTTTGAAGGTTGTGGAAAATGAACAGAATGACATGGAAGAGGAGGAAGAGGAGGATTAGGATTCATCACACATACTGGAATACAAACATATTTATGTAAGTTTTCTTCTTGTTCTTCTGTTGTTGAGGAGCGCCATTTGAAAACAAAGAACAATAATCCTCTACCAACATGTCAAACGAGGTGCCCAAAGTCGGACTGGTGTCAAATTCACAATCTCCATTTGAAAAAGCCACTCCCGCCAAATTTTACAAATTTCTCTACGAACGACAAAAATTATTAGAAAAAAAAATGAACGATGATGAATCGGCTTATTCGTCTCAGCAAGGAGATGAAACCATGATGAATAATGAAGATATGAATAACACCTCAGGAATGACAGCGTCATCAGGAGGGGTTGCAAAAAAAGAGAGCGTGAGCCCCTATGTATATATGGAGAGAATTATTGACAAGTTGAAATTATTAAATTATGAGAGAAGGAAGGATTTGTTTCCGAATTTTTGTATAGGAGGTTTGCCAAGGTTTTATTTTGCTCATCAGGATAAGGATCATCCACATGAGCAGTTTTATACATTCATGACCATTTCGTCGTGGCTCATTACCGACGTTTTGAAACAAGACGATTATGAACGACCTGATTTTCAAGTAGACGATCCCAATACAACCACCCAAAATTTGGCATTTCAACTCAAAAAGATGGGCATACCTCTCGATTTTCCTCCGACCAAGCTAAGACAAGCATATGGAGAACCTGCTTGCTATGTTCTGGATCAATTGTTAAATAAGGCCCTCAAAGATCTAAAAGCCAAGCTGAAAACTCCAGAAGTTCCCGAAGAAATTAAATTCCACGAAGATGAAGACATACCCGAAGAAAATGACGATATTGAAGATAGTGAAGAAATTCGAGAGCAGGAGAGTGACAACGAAGATGAAATGTACTATACCGTGGGAGGCTCCAAAAAGGATTCCAAAGACTCTGAAAAGCTTGAAATGATTGAAGGTTACCACAATGCGCAAGAGTGGAGATTGGAAACGGAACGATTGTCTTCCCAACTCGTTGTGAGGCTTAATGTGGATCACAAGGACTGGAGAACACATGTTGAATCCATGCAAGAGCAAAGTGAGTCTATTAAGGACCTAACTCCCAATTCCACCTCACAACTCGAAAAAATAGCAGAAGAAATTGAAAAAATTAATTCCCGAATTCAGAAGAGAGAGAAAATGTTAAGCGACGACTCTTCGATCGGAAACTTACTCTCAACCTACTCTAAAAATCAACAAGAACTTGATGAGATTACTAAAAAATACAAGGAGTTGGAAGAAACCATCTCGCAGTTGAGTGCCGATCTTGGAAAAATCAATCAAGAGTTTAATGACGTCAAGAACAACGCAGAGGAGCTCACCAAAAAAATGGCTGACACAACCCCACTTCGTGAAATTAAGGAAGCTCTCGTCAAGATACGAAATGACATTAAACAATTAGACATGAGAAATGGTGTTCTCCAAAATCAAGTTCTCCAAGCGAAAATGAAGACTTCAAGAGTATTAAGCGCGAAAGGAAAGAAAATTTCTGGACTTTCCTCCCAACAACTATCCTCAGGTTTTGAATTTGATCCATTCCATTATTAAATGAAATCCTCGCTAATGAAACATTTGCAATGTTCAGTATTCTGCAAACGCTGATATTAATAGTAACTCCATGAAAAAATGAGTAATGTTAGTAACAACAGTTTCTCGACCTCCTTGAACGAGGAGAAGAACATTCCTGAAGAGAATATTAAGGGAGCTAAGGAAGAAGGTGGTTCTAATGATGAGATTTATACTGGTCAAAAATTAAAGTTAAAATTGAAGGCTACTCTTGAATATTTTGAGAAGATGTATGAATGGTTGTAACGAGAAATATTCGTGAACCTCTTCGGAGAATCAGAAGTAGCTTGTTGGAATATCCGTTGGGATGTTCTTGAGAATACACAAGAATTTCCAATACTGGATGCCAATGAAATGATATTGGAAATGAAGAAGCTATCAAATAAGATGTTGAAATTTATCAAATTATTGCCCAATCCGACCAAATCACAAGTGGATATGTTTATGGATATAAACACCCTAATCTTAAAGATTCCGAAAGTGATTTTCAATAGAATGAAATTTTATTCTCAAGAGTATTTCTTGAACAAATTTAACCATGGAGATCAGAATCCAGAAATCAGAATTTTGCCCAAACAAAAAGGGGAGCAAATGGGGTTTCGAGTTCAGGTTTCTCTTTTACACAAATCCAAGACGTATTATGTTAAAACCCATACCAATGGAAGCAAAAGAAATGATTCGTCATTCGTAAGAAACAAAGTCTGTGTGTATGAATTGTTGGTGTATAGGATTTTGGAGAAATTGAATATTGTTCCTGAAGTGCATTTCATTGCTCATGATCGTGAAGTTTTATATTGCAACCTTGGACGCCAAAGACGAAGGAGCAGGTGGAAGATTTTATGAATTTCCGAATATCGTTGAGACAACTGAAGCAGACACTTGTGAGGTTTGGGGAAATCTGTATGAGTGTTTATCACTTTTGGAAGCTCAATGGTGAAACCGATGAAATTGCCTCCACCCCCTCCAGCAACTAAAAAGTGTAATTAGTGGCACTTCCCAATGCATTCGTCCAAGTGGAATAATTGGGGCATATTGTTTCTTTGGTTGATTTTGGAATCATGCAAATGAGATCAGGTCTCTCCACTCATCATGACTGTCACTGCCCAGACAGATAGGGGACAGCTTAAATCCGTTTACTTGAAATCAAATCTCTCCAACATCAATACTGAAACCAACCATGCCGATCAAGATTTTTGTAAAACATAAAAAATGTCATCTTTGCCATCTCAGCAACAAATACTTTCAAAACTTGTATCGAAAAGATATTCTTCATTCGATAATATTCCCTCTCCATACTCGGAACAAGAAAAAACAGTTTTTAAATACATTTCAGCGGCTCAAAAATGTGAAAAACATGTCGAGGAGTTGCACATTCATGAACATGATCAGGAGAGGGTGAACCGATCGAATAATTCGAAAAAGATTTATGAACATGAAACGTATTGGTCATTCATGTCCATGTGTTTACGTAGGTGGTGTGATTTGTTGTGAAATTATTTCAAACGTTTGTGGATTTATTTCACATGAATTTGATCATCATGATGATTTTAAATGACATTTTTTCGAATTATTTCAACAATTTTATATAAGTAAATGAATTATTGAAAACTCCTTCCTGTCTCGCTCACAACAAGAATTTCACTACACGCAATTTCGCTCCGACTCAAACCAACACGAAACAACTTTTTCAAGATTTACAACAGTGTGCCCATATTCAAGTCGAGGAACATTCGACACCTGAAGGCACCATTCAATACGAAAATGTCCCCATTTTCAACAATAGCTCTGATGACGAAAACTATAACATTTTGACAGATTATTTTGAAACGTTACGTGATCCACTCAAACAATCATTTCCATCATTTTATCATGCATTGAAATTTGGAGTTGTGGCAAATCCATATTCGAGAAGAGAATCACCACTTTGGTTGGAAGGAGACAATTCATCACATCTGGATCACACTCAAGATGTTCCAAAATTGAGAACTCTGATGCAAAAATTGAAATTGGAAAAACATGTCGAACATGTCATGGAAAATTATTTCACCATTGAACCCTTGTCACCTGGTATTATTGTATTGGCTTATGGAGCTGCAATTCCATATTGTCGAAAACATGTGTTGAATTGTTTGAGAAAGGGTGCAGTGAGTACTGGTAACGATGATGAGATGATTGAAAAAGCATCACTTGTGGAAACCATTGAATGTTTAAAGTTGCAGCCATGCACCAAAAAAATTTTACCATTTTTGGATAATGAAAAGAAAATACAATCACAACAACAACAAAAATAACCATTGTTGTGAATCTACTAAGGAAGATGTGCACCAATTGGTTCGAATGATGAGTGTTGTACCATAGTGCAAGGTGCAGTGTCAACAACCATGATTCATCAGAAACCTTATTGAACCTTAAAATAAAAAAACATTTTGGAATTTGAAAATCGAGACTCGTCAATGAACGACCCTCAAGAAAGTTTACAAGTCAACTGGCAAAACAATTTTCATGACACGACTTCAAAAAGGTCCCAATGAAAACAAGTGCACTCAACCTTACGTAAACCCTACATGACATCTGTCCTGTGCAATTTGCAAGTTCATTCCAAAAACAGTCTTTAAAAAAATCTCAAATTCACGTTTTCAACGTCCAAATTTTCAAAAAAGTCTCTTCAAGCATTTCCGAATCATCTTTATCAAATCCTCTCTTCATCTATTGTTGCTGAGCCGATCAGAAGAAGAAGAGAAAAAAAAGAATCATCATCATACAACTACAATAATAATAATAACAACAATACGACGATCGGAACGAGTGTATTTTCTTCCTTCTTCTTTTTTTTCATTCCCGATCACATTCATCATTTATTAACAGATCATTCAAAGATCATCATCAAGTCTTTTCTTTTTATTACCTCCGCAAGGATATCTCATTATTGCATGCAGGGAGCAAGATTGAGTCATCAACCAAAATTATTAACCATTGTTTCTAATAATTCCTCTCCATCCTCGGGTGTTTTCAAAAGCTTGTTTTTGATCAGTGCAGGTGCTTTCTTGTTGGCTTTCCTCATCAATTTGTATATTGAATTAGAAACGTTAAGTATTTAAGTACAACAGTCTTTGCAGCGAAATTTATATGACTGTTGTAGAACAAGATTCCTCAATGGGCGATCAGAAGAGTCACCCGTTATACTCTTCTTCGTCCATTCTTACAAGCTGCCCACAACAAGAAGTGCATTTAGTTAGTGAGCAAGGAGCAAATCATGATCACAATCCACCCAATGCCACTGACACTGCACTGAGATCTAACTGCGAAAATGGCTTTGCGTTAACACCCAATACAGCTTCACCCTTGAGATGTTGTACTTGTTGTTGCATTCATAGAAAGAGAAGATCATCAAATGGAACGAGTAGCAATGGCGGTGCAAGCAATGATGGAGTTGTGTCACCATTAGCGGAGAAGGGACCATTGACTGTGTTGATCAACAACACCACTTCGCCAACAACTAGCATTTCTGGCTATGTGACACAATTAGCCAAGTATCCTCGATGGGAAACCACTACTAACAATATTTATCATTATGAGAGCGTTTTGAGTGTCAATTTGTGTCCTCCCTCTCCATTATTGTCCTCTTCGAATTATGACAAGGAAATGGCTTCTGATGAAGATTTTAGCAATGTTGTCTTGGTACTTGATGCATCATTCTGCCGTGCTACTAGTGCTGGTTCAGAATTATTGGACTTGCTGAAAATGAAAATGAGATCAACTCCACAAAGAGCATTCTCCATGAATTTTGAGCATGTTGCAACGCTGGGAAAGAGTTCATCCACAACCTCAACTGCGTATATTATGAACCATCCGCTCGATCATCAATTCTACTGTCCTTGTGACATTAAAATTTCCTACAATTGTCACGTCATTCTTGTGTCTGATATGGGCAATAGAAGAATTCAGGTTTTGGACCTTGCAACTCTACGCCTGAGAGCAAGCATTAACATTGCAGCCAAGCATTTGTGTATTGAATCCAATTATGACTCGAGAAGAAATGATGCCCTTCTTGTGACATGCAACGATCATTGTGTGTACAAGTACGACTTGCAACAATTAATTGAAGAGTCGACATTGTCATCCACAAATGTCACCAATATCCATTCGAACACGAAAACAACAACAACAACGACGACAAGCTCCCAATCTTACAACTATATTTGGAGATCAGGTACGCCCAATGTCAAGGGAAAAGCATTGGATCAATTCAATCAACCAAGTGGAATGGCTGTATGGTATGGCAAGAGTCAACAAGTTGTGTCGCCTTCCAAAAGCAACTCTTCTCAAAATCTCGTTTTTGTTTGTGACTGTAACAACAATAGAATTCAAGTGGTACAAGCACATGACGGCAAGGTTATTAGTACTATTGGTGGCAACAATGCTGATCAGCAACAGAAATCCATCCAATTCAAAGGACCTTGGGATATTCAGATTAATGAGCATTCAGAGTTGGTGGTTTGTGAAGTTGACACTCACAGAATTCAAGTATTGAGGAGAATCACTTGCGACGAGAAACGTGACAGTCGTTCTCGTACGAGCAATGCTGTTAGTAACAATGGTAGTGACACTCAAGAACACTTTTCTTACATTTCCACCAAATCATTTGGAATTACCAAAGGATATACCTCCACATTTAATCATCCACGTGGAGTGGCAATTGACAAGACTCGTGAGCATATCATTTTGTGTGATCAAGATAATAATCGAATCGTAGTCTTGCATGAAAAGACTGGTCAAGTGAAACGAGTGTTTGGTTCTCGTGGAACTATGAACGGCCAATTTTTCAAGCCTCATGGAATTTGTCTCAACGAGAGAACAGGTGAATTACTTGTGGCAGACTACCTCAATCACAGAATTCAAATTTTTAAGTAATGTCAACAAGATTCTGTAATAATTCAATTGAAGAGGAGAAGCATTGGATCAAATCAAAAACATTATCCATGATGCATCACCCATCTTTCAAACACTCACCCACCTCAAAAACTGTAAATACCAATACAAAATTCTCACACCAATCACCCATATTTCTTAATAAAGACAATAACGACAAGAAATTACTTTTGTTCGTGTTTCATTTAAATTTTAAAATCCGAATGTAGTCCATCATCTGTTCAGAGCAATAAGGGTCGGGTAACTTATTGTCTTTTTAAACTCTCATCCAAAGTCCAAATCGAGAAGGAGGTGAAAAGAAAATCAAAAAAATTGCATTGAAATTATTGTAGTTGTTATTTTCCTCTGTTAGGGACTGAATAACGAAAGTTTCCAAGACTGAGCGCGTAGTTATTCATCATCACAATTCGTGAACCATTTCATTTCATTATATTAATATTATTCACGCGGACAACTCTCGGAAGTAGTTTTGTAGTACTCTACCAAAGGCTTATTCCGAAATACAACAACAACCCAACTACTAACCACCATCATTGATTCATCATTATCATAACAACAAGAAGATGGATCCCACAATGGATATTCCTCCTCTTGATGATAATTCGCTTCTTGCATCTTCATCATCGGGAGCCCATCAAACATTTAATTATCCAAAAATTGAACCACTCGGAGAAGGTACTTATGGAGAGGTGTATAAATCCATCGGACCGAACAAACAACTCGTAGCCTTGAAATGTATCAAACTTGATCAACTCAATGAAGGTGTTCCATGTACAGCCATTCGAGAAATTGCCATTCTCAAAGAATTAAAACATCCGAATGTGGTGAGATTGGTAGATTTGGTCCACTCCATGGATCAATTGACTCTGGTTTTTGAATATTGCAATTATGGAGATTTGAAGGCTTATATTAACAATGTTGCTGGGGATGGCAAGGGTCTTCCACCGAAACAAGTGAAGAACTTTATGCGACAAATGCTCAAGGGTATTGAATATTGTCACATGCAAAGCGTGCTTCATAGAGACTTAAAGCCACAGAATATTCTGGTGAATGCTGGTTCAACATTGGCTACTGGCTCATCGTCGTCACCAGCTGGTAGTACCAACACAAACCAAACACAACAAAAACAATTTATTGGAAGCTCTAGCAGCAGCAGCAATGGACATCATCGAGGCACCAATACTGCTCAAAATGTTCCATCGTCAGATAAAATTGAGCTTAAACTTGGAGACTTTGGATTGGCGCGATCCTTTGGAATTCCAGTAAGGAAATTGTCACACGAAGTGGTCACCTTGTGGTATCGTTCTATTGATATTTTACTTGGAAGTCAGTCGTATGGCTATGGAGTGGATATTTGGAGTTTAGGTTGTATTTTTGCAGAGATGGTTACAGGTAAACCATTATTTACAGGCAAAGATGAAATGTCACAATTAGCGAACATTATTTCCAAGATGGGTCTTCCATCAGTAACGGATTGGCCGGATGTCAAACAATTACCAAATTACGACATACTTATTAACAAGATTGCCAAAAAAACCTCAATTCCATGCCATGGTCGAATTTCGAAAGAACAATTCAGCAAAGATATTTTACAAAACAAGCTAGATCCTGCAGGAGTTGATTTACTGTACAGAATGTTGGAATATGATCCCAATAAGAGACCATCGGCTACAGAATGCCTCAAACATCCTTACTTTAGTACTCACTAGGACAACGGTGGGCCTGCTTAACAACTACTTCTCAATGCCATTCCTGAAATTTACTTGTCATCATATTCTTTTTCTCATTATTATTTATTGCAACCCACAGTTGTAGTTTGTACAAATTAAATTCACTTTACTTGTATTTTTAGTAATATTAATCATCATTCTTTGCTGTAGTCGAGGAGAGGAACACCGAGAAATGAGAGAACGAGAATTGGCCTTTTCAACTCTGACAAGTGGCCACAACTAACTTGCAAGTGTTGTTTTACAACTCCAATTCAAATAAGGTCATGCGATTGAATGGAATGGATTCTGTAGCCTCAAATTATTGTTTGACATCCCCAATGTGAGATGTAAACCGAGCAATTCTCCAACAACAATTACGGCAAAGATGCCATTTTTTGACAGGAACTGCATGATACTAACCCATCCTTATTAGGAAGTTCAAAGCAGTAGAACGGTACCTTTCTAAATGTTCAAGTTCCAGATCCATGAGATTTTTTACCCGAACTTATACCTACTGTGCCTCATCTGCATTTGAGATGGATATCTCTTAGAAGAGTTTCCTCGACCGATGGTGGATGTGTTGTAAACTTGACACTTTTCCCATTTGTGAATCTTTTCAAAAAAACTCTACCACTGATTCGTGATTCATCCATCCACAGACCATCCCTTGTTCTATCCAATTGCACATTTGTGACCATCACCAATGAATCTATTAAGAAGTCGAAAACTCATCTTGATTGTGGGTACCATGATTCTCACTCTCTCCGTGACTATGGTCTTTCAATGGATTGTTTTTCCTCAACACAACAAATCCATGAATTCCTCTCATTTGGATTCAAGTATGACCACCGCTTACAGACAGCATGCAGCAACCTCTCGTGAATGCACATGTGAACCAACAACCAATGCTTCAACTTTGAACCAAAACAACAACAACATGCAGAAGAGAAGAAACCAAAGAGTCTTCCCAATTACATTCTTCAGTAACGAATACATTACGCATGGAAGAAATTATGATTCGAGTTGGGGAATGGGTGCGTTGTGTGGAGTGTATTTGCAAAGTTATTTTAGTTATAATTTGAAGAGTACTGACATGGCAAAAGAGGGAAATCATGTGGAGACGTTTCCAACGATTATTGGACAGGAAGATCGTCCAGGTACTTATGGTAAGTTGTTGATTTGATGATGTTGTGCCTTTGATTTGACAGACATGTGGGTATTAACATGAACCTACACATGATTCGACATGCATGATGATGAACATGGAACTTGCATGTATAAAACTCATCTACAACAACAGGACACTGGAGAAAGTACATTATTCTCGATCAATTTCTCAAAAGTGAAGCATCAAATTATATCAAGGAAGATGATTTTGTGTTTTTCAGTGATGGTTTGGATGTCACTTTCAATGGAAATGTTCAACACATCAAAGATGTTTATTATGAATATTTGAAAGATGAAAACTTTGATGTTGAGAAACGAGAGAATGAGAATTGGCCCATCCTCTTCAACTCTGAGAAGAATAAGTGGCCACCCCTTTCACTCTTTAAAGGAATCAAAGTAAGTGTGTCATTGCGTGGATGAATTGACAAATTTGGACGCGCTGAATTCAATCTGACCTTATAATTTATTTCCACAGAATTTGGATTTCAACTTTCTCCAACAACACTATGTCAACAATTATCCAAAAAACAAACCCTACTGTCCATCCAATTCTGGTTTTCAATATCTAAACTCTGGCATGTATGTTGCACGCAAACGAGATGTCAAAGCTTATCTTGTCGCTGCCTTCAACATGGTTGAAAATCCTCAAATGATTTACAATGACGATCAAGCAGCTGTTCAAATCATGTATGTTGCCAAATCCTCTTCTCAATATTATCCAGTATTGGGTGATTGTCGAGCTGCAATGGGACTTCCAACATATATAGCATGTGATCATTTACAAGTGGTCAATGAGACGTATTGTCATGTCAGTAATAAGGAAATTCCTGAGAGAATTCCAATTGCCATGCACAGTAATGGACCTAAATGTGATAATTTTTGTCCGTGTGTGAGAGCCAAGTCAAGAAGTTCGAAATTGAAACAATTTATGGATTTTGAAATTGAGAAACAAAAAGGAGTTTCCTTTACAGATTTGAACATTAATTTAAAGGTGTTGTTTTACAATTCCAATTCGAATAAGGTCAATGAAATTGTGTTGAATGGATTCTGCAGTGCCAAGTTGCTATTTGACATCCCTAATTCGGGATGCATTCCCAAGTAATGTTGAAGTACAATTCCAATAAATATTAAATACATGATTGTTCCAACAAATTAATTTATTAATGAAAAGATAACAGAATGATCATATCCATAATGAAAAGAATAGTTGGTCCATGTGTGTTATAATGTTTGGTTTGTACAATCAAGGTCATGGAGGACATGCAGAAGAACGAGAAGCACTGAATAGGTGGATCTTCTCATCCAGTATGTTGAAGAGTAGTTGAAGGCTGAGTGACTGTTTTCCATAATTTTTAACAGTATAACATTGTGTCATTGGTGTTGGGAATTCTCAACAACTTTTTTTGTTAAACTCTGAATTCGGTTTCGGATGCACAAATCCGTACTCGAGAACAAAAAAAATGTACGTTGGTCCCACAGACAACAAGGCCAACCGCAACAATCCCAACAACAGGCTTTTTTATCCCAACGAACCAACTTACCAGTATCATGTCATTGATATTCGTGCCATGACCAACATGATGAATCCAAACCATGCATTGTTTTATCATAGTGTTTCACATGCTACGATATTGTATGAACAAGCCAAACAACAAGCAAGAGAACATGCGAATAGGAATAATCCAAATAATCGAGCGTACAAGAATGATCAACAACAACAACCGGACAATCAACCTTCGATCGAAATGAATAGGAGAAAGTGATCGGGAATAAGAGACGATGTTATTTACATAAATTCAACAAATGTTAATGATCGTTCAAAATCTAATGAAAACAAACTCGTTGAAAGCAAATAAATATATATTTAAAATTAATAATGTTACGTCCACTTGCTTGTCAGTTCGAGAATTCCCAAACCTCGAATTTGTAAAATGTAAACGAATTCACCAACACTGATCGCATGCAATTCTAACTCAAAAAAAACACAAAACACATGACCAACAAAGCCAATCAAAACAATCCAAATAATCGAGCCCACTACAACAATGAGCAGCAATTTTGGTTGAAAAAGGACGATATCAACTGCCACAGTAATAGAAGAAATCCATGTCATGTCAGCTTTTTTGATAACAGCCAATTGGAGCATTCCAAAGAGATGTACTTGTTGAAAAAGGAAGAACATCGAAGAAAGTGCAGCGCCCATAATCCAAATCACAAGTGATACAACTGGTGAGGGGCAAAAAAATTTGGACTTGCCGGGTATCGATCCCGGTACCCCTTCCATGCTAAGGAAATATTCTACCATGTGAACTACAAGCCCCTTACAAACAATATAAATTATCATGCACTGAAACAAGCATAACCTTTGTCAAAATAAATCATTTTAAGTTTAATTAGGTCAATATTGAAACAAAGGCAGAATTGAAAAAACGTATTCAGCAGTCGGAAGAATATATTCAGGAGCTGAAAGAAGAATTGCGTAAAGAAAAGCAGAAAAGAGAAAAACAACAAGACGAAATTGAAATACTTGCACACACTATCAAACACCTCACCTCCGAGTCGAAAGAGCCAACGAACGAAAAACAACCAACATCCAATAGCACAAATAACGTATTGTCATCACAACCCACTCTATCAACACAACAACCTCCGATCGTTGTAATGATGCAACCACCGCAACCACAACAATCACCACCTGGATTTTTGCCAGTTATGCCTCTACCACAATTCCAAGAAAACGCTTACACTGACTTGTGGTACAAACTAGGTCTTGTACCAAGGTGGCCCTTTCAGCATTAGTTGCTGTTGTTGTAAATTATCGCATTATAAGCTTAACAGACAACACCTCCTCACACTACACTGCTTCAAAATACCAAATCAAACAAATCTCAATCCTCTCACACTCCAACAATAACAACAACCACAAAGGTGTAATAGTTATATTACTCCTATTACAAACGATTGCTGTAATTATCTTCTTCAAATTAGCTATTGTTGTCAAGAACTCAATAAATACTTTAGCTCTGGTTTATTTTTCAATTTCAAGAAAACCGTTCAAAAATGAAGGTCGGAAATTTTTAAATTTATGTTAATATATCAAAAATCCTTTCCAAATAATTTAAATATTTAAAATTCAAATGATGATGAAATTTTACATGACACAATTGTCATCAGAAGACAAGAAAAAAATTAGCAACAACCAAGTACCGCATCCTCGCAGCTACAAACCACACATGGGCTCTACTGCTGCTTTCAACATTTCTTCCAAGAGTTTACCCATACTTTCGGAAGTGGATGATTTTGAAATTTATTTTCAAGGATGCTCTGCCAAAGGAGCCCTATTAACTGGATCTTTTGATCAGTTCAATACAGCCACGGACTTAAATGGTTGTAGTGGTGATCCTTGTTGGAACGACGATCAAGATGGAGCTGGACGTTTTTTGAGATATTCTAAATTTGCAAAACCAAACACAAGATCATTACCACTTCCACCAAATGAAACTTTAAAGTTCATTGATATCGGACTTCAATTTACAACACTTCTCACCTACTCGAACAAGGTTTATTTATTTGGCGATTTTCCGTATGTTTTAATGTATTTCCAATGTATTTTAATAATTGTTGTGTGATCGATTGTAAGATTTGGGATGGTGTCGGAACCGATGAAAGATAGTCCAAATGGCAAGTTGCTGCTAGTTGAATTGAATCGTCAAGATGGCACACATACGGTCATGGCTGACAGTTTTCCAACAGAGCCTGTTGAAATGTTTTGCGGAGAGCAATTTGTTACAGTGAGAGATTGTAGGGATCGAATATACTATTGTGGAATTGAAGGTTTTGGAACTTGCAGCTCTGAGTGGTTTTATTGCTTTGTGGACCTGCAGCTACAAGCGACCATTGAGAACCAATCTGAAAATATCGATCTGTTAAATGGTAAAATTACTCACTTTCGCGTAGGAGGAAGACATATTTGTATCTGCATTGACAATCATGCAATCCTATCGATTGGAGCTAATTATTATGGCCAACTTTGCAATGATCGAAATGATAGCTCTCCAGAAGTAGGTGATGATACGCCAAACATTCAACAATACAAATTTCAAAGGTCTCTGTGGAATAGAACAAAACAATATAGAGTAATGGATATTGGTTGTTCTGGAAACATGACATGCATAGTGACTACATGTGGTAAAATTTTTAAAACGGGAAATGTTCCCCATTTACAGGGAGAAAATGGTACCCTCTATGAAATTAAGCTCGATGGCATTCCATTGGCAGTGTCTGGAACTTGGACTCATATACTCATTCATACTAACCAAAACAACGTTGCAACAATATCAGAGACGCATGAAATTGACAATATTACACCAATTTCGTTCACGTATAATGTTCGTCCGGCAGAGCTAAGGTTTTCAAGAGGAACAAATCCAAATGGTGATTATTATTTACTTACTTTTGACACTATTTACAACAGATCTGGAGGTCAAGTATTGAAAACAAGTTTACCGATTTACTTTTGCAAAGTAACAAGTGAAATAACAATGATTTTGTGTGGAAGTGGAAGAGCTGGAAAAACAGTAAGAGAATTTTGGAAAAATTTACATAATTGCAAACGTTTACATGACATTTCTATACATGCACAGTCAACAGAATGGTTGTAACATTTATACAAAAACGTCGAACAAAAATTTATTATTCAACTAAAGCTAGGACGATCCAATACAGATCTGAAATGATTTCTATTTTTCAATGCCTCAAATTTTGCCTGCTGCACGCAAAAAACAGCCCTTCTAAAAACAACAGCACAATCGTGTAAAATGCTGAATTGGGTCTGTTAGATTGTCGAAACATGCGACTGATCATTGATCTGTGTAATTGTAGATCTCTACCCGTTGAAAGAACAAAAATGTCAACACGTGGATCATTCATGTGACATGTTTCATTACAAGCAACCAATAACACTTTTCAGTACCCAACACCAACAACAGTCCTAAATTCAAACAAAAAAACTTCCTTCATATCTGTCTATTCCACCATGACCGTCACAACTGAACATGAACGATTTTCAAAAGCCGACACAAATGACACTTGTCAAACTCCATCCTTCATGGTTCATCCACTGACCAATCCCATTCCGATCGTTCGACTTCTCTTACAACACGTCTACATTCATCTCTTTCAAATGTTTTTACCTCCCAACGTCACCTATCCAACAATGAATGAACTCAAAGTTCATAACCACAACAAGATCAATCAAATTCTCACTCTTTCCAAATGTGAATTAATCTTACAACGAACTTTAATGTTCGTCCATTACTTTCATTCGTCTCATCTCAATCGATGGCTTCATTTTCTAACTATTATTCCCTTCTTTAGTGGTGTGTTTTTAGTATTGGGAGTTTTACTGAATGGATTGTATCATGGAATTCTGGTTGAGAATTTCATTTGGATATTTCCAACAATGGAAATGAGACAACATGTAATAATGACTTTGGATTGGACTCTTCCTCTCGTTTTATTGTGGTCCTTATTCTTTATTGTATTTGCAATGGGAATTGATCGTTATGCATGGCTGGTTTTGGCAAGTTTTTGTGTGACCATTGCATCCATTTGTTGTTACGTTCTTTCTGTCACTACTGCGACAAGTGACACTTCGATCATGGATGGGAACGGAACAAGTATGATGATGATCTTTTCAGAACGAATCTTTTTCTATGATTCATCCTCCTGGTTGAACATTTTAGGTTATGGATTTTCATTGTGGTTTTTTGGATTCATCAGTCAAGCATTTGTAGCACATGTCGTTGTCGATCGACAAATTCCTGCCTTCCTAGTTCAAGAAGCGTTACTCATTACCCCCATTTACATCATCATGACTTGTTCCATGATGTATAATCCATGTTTGAATTATTTACCAAAATTAAGGAAAGAAATTGAACAACATGCCACACGAGAGAATTTTCAAAAATTTGGAAAAATTCAATGAGGAGGCTGGAATGGTAAAATTGTTTTTAAAAGGTTTTCAAAACCAAATGTACACATAAAGTAATGTATCCCTTCATCTGTAAATGTTGACAAGTTGCAACATCTCAAAGTAAAAAGTTCGCAGGTTAAAACATGACAGCCAAAGGAGTGAATAATTTTCCGTTTTACCACACTTGCTTTGAGAGATCTTGTTGCCTGTCAATTGTGGATCTGAAAGTTCCTTATCCAAACACGAAGAGGCTGGGCACGACGAGTCACTTGTCAAACATTTTTCATCGAATTCGAAACAACAACAAAAAAGTTCATGACAACCATCCAAACATCCTTCTCATCTCATTCTTACACGATTTCGTGTTTGTTGCTTGTCCCATGCTTCCTCTTTCTTCTTCTTTTATCCTCTCAAACTCATTCACAATGTTTGGAAGAAATTTCTTGGAACAAGATCCAAAACGGTCAACGAGTGATTGGAGTTTCGAGTTTTCACACACTTTTTCTATGGAAATCTGTGGCCACTCAATCTCTTGAAATGAATTTGGACACATCATCGTCCGACGAGAATTTGGATCAACTTCGATCGAATTTCTTTCAACATGTCAATCGATCTTCATTGGTGATTGGTGTTGAAAAAGACTATCCGTTGGTTTTGACACAATTATTGAATTTTTATGGTCTCTCTGTTCAGCAACAAATAAGTGTCAAGAAAGTTTGGTTGACCGATGAATTGTGTCGAAAAGGAAATGTGTTTGAAGACGTCGATGGATTGTTTATGGAACCGTTTCGATTCTATTATTTCATGAGAATGTATCGAGAGCACTCTGGAAAGAGAAAAACATTGAATGAATTTATTCATCCGTCGGATTTTGTACCAATTCCTCTCATGCCAGCAAATCTGACACTTGTCAAAAATGTGTGTCAACATATTGAATGGTATTCAGAACGTTTAGTGAATAGACCATTGCGAGAATTATCTCAAAATTATTCATGTTCCAATCATCCAGAAATTCAAAATGCTCAAATGTTGAGAGTATTGACAGGATTTTTGAATTTTACAAATCAGGAGATTCGTGCTTTGGAATTTGTTCGAAATTTGACACTTTCTATCGATCATGGTGTGTATGACAAGTTGGAACCTCAAATTTTGAATGCATTTCGATCCTATAACTTTACAATTCCCATTCAACTGTCACAAGTCATGAACCAATTCTTGAATTCCACTTGTCATTACTGTACTGCGACTCTCTGTCCAGAACGTCACTTTACCGAAACTGAACTTTATTTAATTGGTGAAATTGGTATCATTTCATTGTATCTGTTTGCCTTTCTAGTGACAGGATGTTTCAAATCGATCATTTTCAAACAACGATTATTGACACCCTACTTGCCAATCGTTGCCATTATTATCATTTTATTCTATTCCAAATATTTGGCCTCGTATTGCTTTGCTGCCTTCCATTTTGTATCTTTGACATTGACTTTGATATTTATTTCCATTTTTGCAATGACAGTTTTACGAATTGTTTACATGAGAAATTTATATCAAATTGTCAAAAATTCGAAAAACATCAAAATGCACAAACTAATGGCAAGTCTTCCTGTTGGACTTGTTTGGACAGGTCTTCTTCCTGCTCTCGTGTCAGTACTCATCTCCATGTATGCCATTTCCTTATTTGTCATTGAACCCTATCAAGTCGATGTGTTAAGAAATATTGTTCTCGTTGCCATGTTATTAGGAGGTTGTTTATTAGGAATGGGTGCAGTTCTATTTGACATGATTATGAATCGAAAGAATATTCAAAGACATGGATTTTTGAAATTTTTATTTTTCGATGATCCCTTCCATGTTCGATTTGATTTAATGTCTTTGCTCTTTCTATTTATGGTTGGAATTTTGGCAGTTTTAGGAGCGTTGCTTGATAATTTTCCACTTTCTGGAAGACCTTTGAATTTATTGGTTGCGTTTGGAGCGAGCATGTCGTGTGGAGGAAATGCCATCATTATTGAAATGGTAAAGAAGCTTCTATTTCGAAAAGAAGCCATGGTTGAAAAGAATGGATTGGATGGATTATTAAGGGATAATTCTGATTTTTATAACCTTTTTAGGGAATACAGTGAAAAAGAATTTGCATTGGAACAAATTTTATTTTGGGATTTATTGAAACAATTATCGTCGAATTTTACAGAATTGAAATCAAGAATTCCAGTGAATGCATGGTCCGAAATGAAACGAGATTTCTTTGAACCGTATTCCAAATACGAATTGAATTTGCCGTCAAATGTCAAGAAGCAATTATTGACTTTGGACACGACTGTTGGTCATGTTGAACTTGAAAATTCAAACCATTCCATTCAACAACAACTCTCACGTGGTTCAACCTCTAATTTACTATCACCATTTCGAGATTCCACTTCAACTCCTTCCACTCCGCAAACTCCAACATTGAATTCCATGACATCTCAAATCACTGTCAAACAAGTCGTGGATATCATGTATTCGGAATTGTTGATGAATATGAATGATACGTTCATGAGATTACAAAAAACAAGAGAGTTTAAACGATGGAAAGAAATTTATGATTTGCAACATGCAGAGGGATCGAAGGAATGACAAGTGTCATTTCAAGAAGCAAATTAAAATGTATATTAAATATAATTGTTTTTTTCATTTAATTTGAAAAAGACCTTAATCATTACTGTCTCTTCATGAACGTCATGTTCACGAATAATTAACAAATTGACTTTTGATTGGCACGTGACATTAATCCATCCATCACTGCCATCAATGCCACTCCACTCACCACAATACTCGAAGCAAACAATGAATCCACAATTTGCACATTATTTCCCGATCTCTGTCCTCGATACAACATTCCCGTCATTGTACTTTCCAAAGTTCCACATCCCATTGTGAATCCAGAAATTGCGACATACAAACACCACATGACATTGTTAAATTTTGAATAATTCGACCTTAATGAGGAAATTAACAATCTCAAGACATGAAAGAAGGAAAAAAAGGCCATCAAGACACAAGCTCCAGAAGTGAATCCGAGAGCAATATAGGTTTCTGTTGGAGTGGATTCTTTGGTTCGGTCGGCATAGAGTCCGAGAGCAATGAGATGGAAAATGGCAGCACCAATGCAACAGATGAGAGTTAGGAGGGAATAGATTTTGAGAATGATGGTGGCATTGGAATCGAACGACATGATGAGAATGTGGCTTGTTGGATTGAGTGTTTTTTTTGAGTGTAATATGGAGGAATGAACTGTTTGACAAGTGGCAGGTATCAAGTCGGCTGGGTTGAAATGTGAAGGAGGAGAAACATGAAAAGATCATGCGAAATCAATGATGTGAAAAGATTAATTTCCGAGATTGGAATTTGAGAAATTCAGTGCAGACGAATCCAAAAGATCTCAAAAAGTAATGTGAGAGATTTTCCGAGCACTAAATACGGATTGCGTGTTTACGACGATTTCCATACCATGGATTGAGGGCAGCAATGTTTGTGAAAACCTTAACATACCAATCTCAAATACGGTAGTAATGGAATTGCTTTCACTTTTTCAAACTCTCAACTTTCATGAAATAATTTGACAAATATTAATTTTCATGAATTAATTTGACAAATATTAATTTGCATGACTAGGACGAAGAAACAAGTATTGTACAAAGGCTCAATAATAAATTTTTAAACGTTATTGTTGTTTCAAATCGACATGGAAAGTGAAAAAGTAAAATCTAACAAAAATCGCCAAAATAAAGTGACATGCCAATACAAAAATGATAAATATGAGAAGGAAAATGTTATCCTGAGGACCAGTCACACCCTTCTTCCATTCCTTAAATAATCCATACACAATAAAAGCAGCTGCATAGGTAAATCCTAACACGATCAAAATCCATCGCAACCATGAAATGTCAAAAACACACAGTACAAGTGGAGGAATGACCACCACAAATGAATAACCATAAATACACAAAGTCTCAACCAAACTCACACCAATGGCCTTATATTTCATCATCATCCACAACAAGGTTGGTACCAACAAGGAAAATGCATAAAACACAGTAGCTCCCACAGAGACCAATGAAAAATCTGTCGTCCATTCCAACAAATTTCCATTCAATTTACGGAATGGTTGCTCCGAATCAGAGCTTGAATTGGCACGCACTGGCGCATTGAAATCATTTTCCAAAGCTCCTCCAATCGCTCTCAAATTAATAAATTGTCCAATATTACTAGTCATGATAATCACCACAATCAATGTTGTCACGATCCAGAACGGTCCCCATAAATCTGCTTGTTTCTTTCCTCGTTTCACAAACGCCACAAACGATTCCCCGCCGCTTGCAAAAAACAAAAACGGTTTACTCATTCTCAGCAAGACTTCGGTGGTATTCACGTTAAAGAAGGGAATGTAATATTCAATGTTCCAGAAACTATATTGAGAAAAATCAATATTTTGTAAATCATCTTCTTCATCATCCTCTCCGGATAGTATGATGGAATTGTTGGAATTGGTTGGTACATTCCCAGCGGATGGAATTGTTGAGGTTGTTGTTGTTGTGGCTTGAGGTAGTTGAACATCAAATAAATTGTTGTGTTCATCGAGATTCATTCTTCCGATGGGTTCTGTGGACAGTTGTTGTTGGGAAGAAAGATTTTGTGTTCCAAAATCTAATCATCATACGGATTCGATTCAATAGTATCAAAAATCATGGGGTGAGAGGAAAAATTCATGATTGCAATGATGATGATCATCACCCGATATTAAAATCCAAACCACCAAAAAATACAACATTCATTGTAGGAGTGATCATGATGTTTCCGTTGAAAATATATTCCATGCCGATTAGAAATAATAATATTGGGTACAAACCTTGAAAATCTAAACTGGTGGTGTTGGCTCCAGAATTTGTTACTCCTTCATAGGGCAATAACGGTTGATTGTTCATGATGATGGGCGTTTTTTTTGTTTGTAAAAGTCCTTGTTGGAAACGTCATGAATAATTCATTGCTAAACTCAGACAATCAATTCAGCGCTAAACTCAGGACATTCAACTCAGCGGAAGAAACTTTGGGTTTTGTTATATTTCGTGAATATATTATTTCATTTTCAGCTTCACTAAGGTGGATCCGATGACTTTTGAATTCACCTTGTTTATTAATAAGCAATCCAACAAGTAACATCGTTTCGAGAAGGCTGATTCTACACACGCATCCTTAAACCACTGATCAATGACACCCAAGTGACAGCACTTCATTAAATACAACACGTCACGCAGATGTTATGTTTTCTAGAGGTTCCTCAAGACTACAAGTCAAACTTTCACTCAACCTCTAGAGCAAATTGTATCTGTTCTCCTGTCTGAGTCTGTAAATTAAGAAGGAGGGAACGGACCGAAGCTAAGAATGGAAATTGCCAAATGAGAAATGACAATCACGTCAAATTGTGAAAAATCATCAAAAAAAATTGTCTCATTGAAAATCATTCATCCTCACAGGGCAACATGTCAAACGAGCAACAAAGGAGTGAAATGATTGATCGTGCTTTTAAAGCCATCGAAGATGGTGATTTGAATGAATTGCGAGGAATGGATTTGCGTCCGATTATTAATGAAACGAAATATTATAATAGGACAATGTTAGGTAGCGCATGTTCGAAAGGAGATTTTGAAATTGTGAAATTGTTGTTGAATGTGGATGGAATTGATGTCAATTTAAAGAGTGTTGTAAGTGTTTGATGAAATTGTGTTTGCTGATGTTTGTGAATGAATCATAATGTTTGTAAATATAGTATGTAAATATTGATTTTTATTTGTTGAATTGAATAATATTCAATCATTATTCTTTCTTTCTGGAAACACATATTGTCATTGTAAACAATGAAATAGTTTGTAAGTATTGATTGTTGTAGAATGAAATTTGAAAAATATTGTTGTTAATGATGAAATAGAGTGTAAGTATTGATTATTGTTGAATGAAATTTGAAAAATATTGTTGTTAATGATGAAATAGGGTGTAAGTATTGATTGTTGTTGAATGGAATTTGAAAAATATTGTTGTTAATGATGAAATAGTTTGTAAGTATTGATTATTGTTGAATGAAATTTGAAAAACATTGTTGTTAATGATGAAATAGGAAGTAAGTATTGATTATTGTTGAATGGAATTTGAAAAATATTGTTGTTAATGATGAAATAGAGTGTAAGTATTGATTGTTGTTGAATGGAATTTGAAAAATATTGTTGTTAATGAAATAGGGTGTAAGTATTGATTGTTGTTGAATGGAATTTGAAAAATATTGTTGTTAATGAAATAGGGTGTAAGTATTGATTGTTGTTGAATGGAATTTGAAAAATATTGTTGTTAATGAAATAGGGTGTAAGTATTGATTGTTGTTGAATGGAATTTGAAAAATATTGTTGTTAATGATGAAATAGAGTGTAAGTATTGATTATTGTTGAATGAAATTTGAAAAACATTGTTGTTAATGATGAAATAGGAAGTAAGTATTGATCATTGTTTGTTGAATTGAATGAAATTCAAATGTTATTATTATTGCAACTCATGAAATAGTTTGTAAGTATTATTGATCTTATTTTCAAAATTTATTCATTTCAAAAGACTCCATTATTCATTGCATGTGAGGAAGCACATTTGGAAATTGTGAAACTTCTTCTTTCCCGCAATGATATTCAAATTGATGAAGATACTCAACGTCGTGCACAAAGAAAAAACATTAATTTACAACAACTCCAAACACAAGCTCGTCAGACCATTTCCAATCCAAACCATTCATCCACAACTATGATCAGCAATAACAACAATACCACGAGTTCGCCATCATCTTCTCGTCAGACATTACAAACAAGCAATGAAATTCGTTCTAACAGTCCTTCCACTTCAAGTGCACCCAGAACAAGTGACAATCTTGGTGAATGGAAACGACGAAACAAGAAACTCGAAGAACAAGTGAAATCTCTTGAAATGAAACTCTCAACAATGGAATTTGAACATAAACAAGAGTGTGAAAACTTGTGTCACCAATGGTCTGAAGAAGTTTCTCAGTTGAAACTTGTAATATCCACTTTGCAAACAAATCTCAATCAAGCCACTCTTGAGTGTCATCAATCACAACTGACAACCAACGATTTGATTGAACAGCTTTCACACTCTCATCAAGAGATTACTCAATTGAAAGCAGATCTTGAGGAGAGGCAAAGTCAAATTGAACAACACAAACTCGAAACAAGAAAATTGCAAGCAGAGCTCCTTCAAGTTGTTCATGAAAATGAGCAATTACGACAACAACAGCATGACCATTCAGATGTCGATTCTTTCATTGAACGTCTCAAGAATGAGATTGAGAAGGAATCAATCCATCATGTTTCTTTTGATATTCAACACATTAATGAGTTGGAAAAGAAATTGATCGAATGTGAACAAAACTTGTCCAGATTGTTCCTTCATGACACCAATGAGAGACAATTTGAAAGTTCTGATTTGAATTCTCGTGTAAATGAGTTGACACAATCGAGAAACAATTTAAGAAACACACTGCTTGAGGAATATCACAAGTACAACAACATACTGAACAAGATGTCCATTCTTTCAAAGAAAAAGAAGCTTATCAAGTTGTATGAAGCATCGAAGAAGGAAATCAGTGAAGAGGACAAGATGTTGACAGAGTCAATGAAATCACTTGAACTCAAATCTCAATTTTTGGAAGTCGCAATTTCAACGAAGAAACAAGTTGACGCTTTCTTGAAGGAAATTAAAGATCTCCATGATGAAATTGAAAACTGTGAAGAAGATCTTGAAGAAATCAATTTCAGGTTGAAGAAAAAGAAGAAGAAAGTTGAAATGACTGAAACTGAAAAGAAACAATTCATGGAGAAGAAAGAAAAATTGACGTTGCATCTCTCGAACCTAAATCTCAGGAAAGAACAACTCAAAACTCAATTATTGAGCAATAGAGATGAATATCCTGAAGTCATGTTTGAACTTGAACAGTTATTATTGAGTAATGAAGAAAATGTGAATGATAACATGTCACTTGAACGCAAATTCCAAAAATGGGCATTTTCAAAGAACTTACTTCTATTAGGTCTTACTTATGAACATTACAAAGAAAAGGAATTATTACACAACGGACTCTCTATTGTCCATTTGATGGAGAGAGACAATCAACAAGTGATTCTAAAAGAAATTGCTTTCGATGAAAAAAGTTATGATTTAATCATCACTGAAATTACAAATATTTTGAGATTACACCCACATGATCGAATTGTAAAGGTGAATGGTGTTTTTGTAGAACCTGGAAGGCATCGCGTTTACATTGAAATGCCTTATTACTCTTTGGGAAATTTGAGAAGTTATATCATGACTCTGAAAGGTAATCAACCAATTGAACGTAGAGAAACGATGAGAAAGCTCATGAGAAGCATTGTTGAAACCATTTACTACATGCACTCGAGAGACATTATTCATCGTGATTTGAAAAGTGACAACATTTTGGTTGACAAGAATGGAAATGCTGTAATTGCTGATTTTGGAAGCAGCAAGAAGCTTGATGTATACCTCACCAATAGACATACAAGAGGTGTTGGAACCATGTTATATATAGCTCCTGAGGTTCTTGACAAGCCACCAGTTTCAAATGACAAATCTGACATTTGGTCATTGGGTGTGACCATGTTAGAATGTTGGTATTATTTGGAGAATAGAGAATCTCAGCTTTCTCCTACTTCTATTACTATCGTTATTGACAATAAGGTTCATTTACCAACACCTGAGGAAGATGATGAGCATGGAAAATTATTGATGGAAATGTTAGATCATATTTTCAATTGTAAAGAATCTCATCAAAGACCTTCTGCAATGGAATTGTTGAATGAGAATTATTTCACGAAAGGATTGACTGAAATGTTGGAACATCAAGGAATTCAACTCAGCACTCCAGAATCTCGAATTCAACAATGGGTTCGTGTCTTGAAAGATTTAAGAAAGATTATGAAGAATGAGATCAATAACTCAGTTGTGAGATTGACCATTGACAGATCTCTTTTATTGGAGCAAGTTACTTCCAAGCTCTATTCCACATTTTTCAATTCAGAACAAGTACCAATGAAGCTTGATCAGTATGTGAAACTTTACACTCCATTCTTGGTCAAGTATGAAAATGAAAGTGGAATTGATCAAGGTGCCTTAACCAATGAATTATTCACTCAATTTTTCAATCATTGTTTGAAGAATGACAAATTATTCGAAAGATCAGAAACACAGAGTGTTGAGAATTACATCTTGTCTAAAGGAGAGAATATCTCTTCAGATGAAGAACAAGCATTGGTGATTTTTGGATTTTTATTGAAGAAAGTCTTTTTGGAATGTGATGAAAAATCAGTGTATTTGCCCATCAATGATTTCATTCTCAAGTATTTGATTTATGATGCGAGTGTTTCCAATGATGTGACCATGGATGAAATTCATAGAGAAAGAGAATTGATGATTGTCACTTGTCAACTCAAGAAACCATTGAAAGATCAAATCTCTTATTGGAAATATTTTGTTTCTCAATATGATTCTCAATGTTGTGAAAACATTTTAGAAATGAAAAGATACAACTCAAATGAGGAATTGCAATTCATTGAAGAATCATTCAGCAATGACTTGTTTTACTCTCCAAATTCTCAAAGTATTGAGAAGAAAGAAATGGCAGTGAATATGGAACATGTTGATGAATATATCATTCATTTATTGAGAGAGAAACTCTTCTCACCCATTCAAAGAAGAAAATTGAAATTAATTTCAAAAGGATTTCAATGGTATTCCATTCAACAGTTGAGGAATGTGGTTTCAAATTCTTCACAACAACAAGTCAAATCTTTACTCACTCAAAATAAGGATTGGTTCATGGAAAGCAAATTGACAGTGATGGAATTGAAATTATTATTGAATGGTCAATCTTATATTGATGCCTCCATGTTATTGAATGAAATGGATTTCACACAACTCTCTCCACAAATTGAAGAAAACTTCAGAAAAGTTATTCAAACTCTCAATGTGACTCAATTAAGACAATTATTGATTTGGATCACTTCATTGTCAAGCATTCCATTGATGGGACTTCCAAAGAAGATTGTATTGAAAGAATCTAACAAGTTTGCTTCTCATGCTTGTATCACTGTGTTGCATTTTGAAGTGTTGAATGAGAAAGATTATGAAAAGTTTAGTTCTCAATTTTTGAACATGTTGAAATGGTCTGAAGATGCCACTCAAGAAGATAGATAAGAATTTCATGAATATGTAAGGTGTTATTTCACCTGTTTCGAAAATTACATCAGGCCCAAAATGTCAATTCTGGAACTACAATAAATGAGGTGTTATTTCACTTGTTTCGAATCATTCCCAAATGATAGATAAGAATTTCATAATATGTTATCTACAGAGGTGTTATTTCACTTGTTTCGAATCATTCCCAAAATGTCATTCAATTAAGTTACAGTAATAAATGCGTACGTCCTTATTAATGACACCAATTCTACCTCAATAACATTTCTTGTTGCGAATGCACTTCATAGCAGATTCAATCTCAACCTAGTTCTTAAACTGAATATTCAACATTGAAAACGAGGTGGCTGTACTTTCTTGCTCTTCTTGTGAATCCTCTTTGATTGATGCAAATTTTTCAAACAAATTCGAATTTGTCGATGAAAAATTGCCAAACGAAAAGGATATCTTTGACAAGTCCAAAGAAGAGGATTGTGACAAACGTATTTCTTTCTTCTCTCGTTCTTCCTCGTCCCTCAATTTTGTCTCATAAACTGTCGGTATTTTAAAGTATTGTTGTTGTAATTCTTTTTGATTTTTCAGGATTGGATCAATTTCATTCAGTAAACGAGAAACATTGTCTGCTTGTTCCACATTGATGATAGAGAGTATGAGCGTTTTCCATGAATCAAAGTGTTGTTTAGAAATGGTGGACTTGGATTTTTCACACAACACACGTTTCAGTCGATCAAAATCTCGTAATTCAAAATTAGGCTCCTCAAATTCATGACCACCACACAATTCTTTAGAACACTCGAGTTTCAATTCATCCGTGAGACTAATAGAGGTATCCGACAAATTGCTGACAAAGAAGCAAATGATCAAATACTTGTCATTATCCAACAGCATGTCATACATGATCTCTTCTACCATTTCCAAATATTTTCCCTTGTAATATTTCATGACTTGAGTGAGATGTTTGTTTTGATAAAGATGACCATGAATGAAACAAAACAAGTCCCTAAATTTGATTTTGGCTTGATCCTTTTCAAAATTGTTCCATAATAAATCAACCACTAAACGTAAGCTCGCTATTTTGTTAAAGGTTTTCGTGTGAAACAAATACAAGTTTGGGATTTGCAATAAATGATTCATGGTGAAAGTGGGAAGATGAAACAAGTTGCTAAACTTTCCCATTGCGTTCTTTGATACATAGAGTGAAATCATTTCAAAAATGTCTTTTTCACTCAAGGAATATTCTTTCAATACAGAAATTCGATCCAAATGGAAATGAATACTTGTAATTGCCTTAAAGAAGCTAGGACAGTTGTTCTGCATACTCGAAGAAGGTATAGACCAGATGGAGGCCAATAAATTCAAATATTTCTTCAAAATGGAATGTCTCGAAATGAATAACAAAATTTCGGTTGAGTGTGACACCAAGTGAAACTCCCTTCTCAAATTCACCTTCTCAATATTGCCCATATCAGTGATTGAGTGATAAACCATAGGAAATACTTGTGGAAATTTGTCAATTACATCTTTTCGTTGTTCTGCAATAAATTGAAATAAATGGTGAATTCCCATTTTTCCACAATACATGAGAACTGCTGCCGTTTCAAATATCGTCTCATTGGAGATTGAATGGTTACAAGATTCCAGTGTTACTAGCTCTTTATCACTTGTTGTCCTTTCTTGATCGTTTTTAGAAATATTATTGAATATTCCAATATAGTCATTCATCATTTCAAGATTTTGATCAGTTAATATGGTTGTTGTGATATGTCCACACAGTTGTTGCAAAGTATCTCTTGACACGTTCTCCAAAATGGTTTTAATCAACTCTGAAAAGAGAGCGCTGTATTGCGACATCAGTCTCGTGATACGCTCCCAATCTAACTGTTCTTGTGAAAGAAATAACAATGCCATTTGCTGTTGAATTTGAGTTGAACTGATCAAATATGGAACGTGTTCCACAAAAGGTCCTATCACGTTCAAATGTTCAAAGAAATATTGAGCCAATTCATTAGGATACAACTCAGCCAAGCAAGCACCAAATTGTTTGAGAAAGATTGCAGATTGATTGTGATCAGAGTGCATCATGCTCAAATTTTTTCGAATGGCATCGAATGGAGGATGAACCAGACGAAAAACTTGGCCCCATTCAATTTCTAAGCCAACCCCGCTGTATTCAGAAATGGCCGATGCCACTAATTCAATGTCTTTCACGACATCTCTCGAGTTGTAAAGTCTCAAGTATTCACAATACA